GACGAACATCTGATGGTAAATTACATAGACATATTCACCATAAAAATACCTGGAGTGGTCTTTATCTCAATTACCACAGTTTCTGCCCAATGAGTTACAAAAAGGGTATTGTACGAACCCTTTTTGACCGCGCTCAAAAAATCTGTTCAAAAGAATACCTTAATGATGAAATTAATCTGATTACTAATGTTCTACGCGATAATGAATACCCATTGAAATTTATCCAGAAATATGCCAAAAGCAATCCTCATACAAAATACGATGGAGTAGAAAGAAAAACCTGTTTTTTACACTTACGTTTCAAAGGTGATGAAATCGCTGGAATAATCAATCAAAGGATAAACTCTGCGTTGAAAGTCACCTACCCAGCAGCAAAACTTATGACAGTATGGCAAACGAACTGCTCACTTCAACAAACCAAAATCGACAAGCCCTCTTTTCTTAGTAGCTCCAACTGCATCTACCAATTTACATGTACGTGCCAAAGCACATACATTGGAAGAACTGAGAGAAGAGTGCATGTCCGCATTTCTGAGCACGTTCCAAAAAACTTGAGGCTGCGTGGGACCAGGGCTTTCAACAGTGCAATAGCTCGACATCTACTTGACACCGGGCACACCATCGACATTCCTCATGCTTTCAAAGTTATCAATAGACAAAGAAGTACGACCACCCTCCGTTTTGCTGAAGCTATTATGATCAAAAAACTTAAACCTGACTTATGCATTCAAAAAGAGACGTTAATTAGCTTATCACTACCCTGGTAACCCTTTATTATTATTATTATTATTATTATTATTATTATTATTATTATTATTATTATTATTATTATTATGTTTTTATTTACTTCAAAATATTTATATTCCTCCCCTATTACATAATTCTTAAACCACATTATTATTTACGCATTTCCACCACCTGATCCTCCTAAATTATCTTAACTTTTCATATTCTATTTAATTATTATTACGTAACCTATCTTATGATTATTCAATTGCATTATTACACCACCAAACCCGAATTAATTCCTTTTGACCTCTGACCTGTTCTAGCATATATATATATATATAGTTATTATTGTAACCCAGTTATTTACACTCATCTATGTCATTTGTTTTCACTCTATCTCAATGTAAAAATTCTATCACATCTTTTGGTTTGTAAGCAGCTGACGAGAAACCTCGAAATAATATGAATTCATACTATTCTGCATCAATATTTGTTCTTGCTTTATTTAAATTCATAAAGGGAACCAATTGCATGAAATTTTTAAAAAGCCGTCTCCCTGACCACATTTTCAAGTCACTCAACCGGTTGGTGGCAGTTCGTTGCAGGATATCGAGAGAAACAACAAAATTAAAGTTTCTGTTACGTTGCTTGAATGATGGCTGCTTTCCTCGTCATATTATTAAAGCTGTCCGTGCTTGCAAAATACCTCCTTCCTTAAAAAATCTTCGACGCGTCACAAAATCTCAAATTGAATGTACCAAGGAACTTATCTCAAAACTTAAAACAGAATCACTCAGTTATGACAAAATTATTATGGATCTAAACATTGTATGTAGAATCAAACTCATGAATTTCATTCACGATGTTCAGTCCAAAACCAGCCATAAATTCCTAAAGACATTAACCAAATCGCTTGTGAAAGAACAAAAACATAACGCCTTTTCTACGAATCCAGAAAAATACGTACACAATTTATCCAGTAAAAAACTAACTCGAATTGAAACTGAAGCACTCTCCCTTGGATTTAAATTTCACATTCCGAAAAAATGCAACAGAATAGACACTGAAACCCAGTTTGAGTATTTATATCAACAGTTATCAGAACTGAAACCCATGAACGATGAAAAACATAGTTGGTTGAAATCGAAACTAGTTGACATTACAAACCAGTACATAACGACACCAACCCCACAATCGAAAGTGTTGACTAAAGACCACCAACTAGCTTTAAAAAAACTTGTGAAAGATGAAACAATAATGCTACTTCGTCCAGATAAGGGTTCCGGTGTAGTCGTTCTTAACAGAGACGAATATATTAGTAAAATAATGTCTACTTTAAATGATTCCACTAGATTTATCATCGATAATACCCAGAAAGATTTAACAGAGACGACAGAGAAGCGACTTGTAAATAAATTGAGAGATCTCCTAAAGAGAAATCTAATAGATAATCATACATACAATGAACTTAAACCTAAAGGATCACAATTACCGTACTTATACGGCCTACCCAAAACTCACAAGCCCAATATCCCGATTAGACCAATATTGTCCATGGCCAATTCGCCTTTCCATAAACTCGCCCGCTGGCTGACAAAGTGCCTTGAACCAATACGAAAGAAACTAACGCCTTACAGTCTAAAAGATAGTTTTGAATTTGTACAAAAACTCGACAACCTAAATGTTTCCGATAAATTTATGGTTTCATTTGACGTCTCATCGCTCTTCACAAACATCCCCTTGGAAGAAACGATGGAGATCATATGTGATTATCCTGAACTTCTACCCCTACCAATCCATGATTTTAAACAGCTTCTCTTCTTATGTACAAAAAACATACAATTTCAATTCAATAATGTCCTTTACCGCCAAATCGATGGAGTTGCCATGGGTAGCCCATTGGGCCCGATTCTTGCCGATATATTTATGGGAAACCTAGAACAAAAAAAGCTTAAGCACGTAATCGATGGTACTACACTGTATTGCAGATATATTGATGACACATTCCTCGTCTGCAACAATCACGATCACGCCATTAAGCTACTCGATCTATTTAATAAAGCACACGAGGACATAGAGTTTACTATGGAACAAGAAGCTGAAGACAAATTCCATTTCCTCGATGTTGGGATCCGACGAACATCTGATGGTAAATTACATAGACATATTCACCATAAAAATACCTGGAGTGGTCTTTATCTCAATTACCACAGTTTCTGCCCAATGAGTTACAAAAAGGGTATTGTACGAACCCTTTTTGACCGCGCTCACAAAATCTGTTCAAAAGAATACCTTAATGATGAAATTAATCTGATTACTAATGTTCTACGCGATAATGAATACCCATTGAAATTTATCCAGAAATATGCCAAAATCAATCCTCATACAAAATACGATGGAGTAGAAAGAAAAACCTGTTTTTTACACTTACGTTTCAAAGGTGATGAAATCGCTGGAATAATCAATCAAAGAATAAACTCTGCGTTGAAAGTCACCTACCCAGCAGCAAAACTTATGACAATATGGCAAACGAACTGCTCACTTCAACAAACCAAAATCGACAAGCCCTCTTTTCTTAGTAGCTCCAACTGCATCTACCAATTTACATGTACGTGCCAAAGCACATACATTGGAAGAACTGAGAGAAGAGTGCATGTCCGCATTTCTGAGCACGTTCCAAAAAACTTGAGGCTGCGTGGGACCAGGGCTTTCAACAGTGCAATAGCTCGACATCTACTTGACACCGGGCACACCATCGACATTCCTCATGCTTTCAAAGTTATCAATAGACAAAGAAATACGACCACCCTCCGTTTTGCTGAAGCTATTATGATCAAAAAACTTAAACCTGACTTATGCATTCAAAAAGAGACGTTAATTAGCTTATCACTACCCTGGTAACCCTTTATTATTATTATTATTATTATTATTATTATTATTATTATTATTATTATTATTATTATTATGTTTTTATTTACTTCAAAATATTTATATTCCTCCCCTATTACATAATTCTTAAACCACATTATTATTTACGCATTTCCACCACCTGATCCTCCTAAATTATCTTAACTTTTCATATTCTATTTAATTATTATTACGTAACCTATCTTATGATTATTCAATTCCATTATTACACCACCCAACCCGAATTAATTTCTTTTGACCTCTGACCTGTTCTAGCATATATATAGTTATTATTGTAACCCAGTTATTTACACTCATCTATGTCATTTGTTTTCACTCTGTCTCAATGTAAAAATTCTATCACATTTTTTGGTTTGTAAGCAGCTGACGAGAAACCTCGAAATAATATGAATTCATACTATTCTGCATCAATATTTGTTCTTGCTTTATTTAAATTCATAAAGGGAACCAATTGGATAAATTAGGAGAGTTGGGCATAGGGTTAACGACCCCATCCTGTAGAAAACTAAATCGCTAAAAAAACCCGTTAAACTCTAAATGTAAACAAACGTTGGAATTTGTAGTCCAGATGTAACAATTAGTAATTTAATAGTTGAATTCATGGTTCTGTTAAAACTAGACCATCGAGAAAAACCTGGAAGTACTGGATTGTCATTTCGTCCTAGTATGGGACTCTTCAGCAATGCTCGTTCACAATCCCACTCGCGGGATTCGTACCAAGGATCTATCAGTCTAACTTTAATTGACTCATGAATTCAACTATTAAATTGCTTTGATTGTGTTTAAAACATATTCACTTTAATATAAAGATAGAAGTATTGCGATAAAGCATGAGTTGTAAGTATTTGAGTAGTTGAATAGCTAACGCATTAAAATGATTTCATCACTATTATAAAATACATGTTCCACTTAAAGTTGACATTCAATCCCATAAACTGTTCAAGTAAGTTTGGCCTATAAGATGTAAGTTGTTGATGAAACCTTAAAGCATTACACCATACCTAAGCAAACAATAGATGAAGTATATATTTCCATGCTCTGTGTGTTATACATTAACTATTTTCTTATTAAAACAACTATCCAGAATGAAAAATAAAAAGGCAAATTTACTAGCTGAATGTGTCACGAATAATGCATATGATAGTCAGTCAGCAACAACGTAGAACTTCCTACGTACGTACGTACATCAGTTAGAGTTACCACACCACATTAGCACAGAGATGCAGTTATCCACTCAAATTCCGTAGTGGCAGAGGTAGTAAGAGTATAAACAGTAATCGGGAAGATTAGGGTTTGAAGATGTTATTCAAGGAGTATAATCCAGTGAAATAAATTTGGAAAGAGAAAAAAAGGGACATGAAGAATTCAGAAGATTAGAATTTTGGAGAACTCAAAGAGTGTATGCACCTGCGCCATTGCAAACGACTTTCACTCATGTTATTCGAGGTCTCTAACCAATGGTTACTATCGTCTCGTGGATCCCAACCAGGTAGTTTACACCTGCAAGCATGGCTCAGTCCACGTGTCAGTGACTTCATGAATTCGTACCACGTTTTGTTCTGACCGCCCCTAGATTTCTTCCAACCTACTCCTACACCATAAAACAACACACGTCGGGACAATCGGTGACTGAGCAAACGTAACACGTGTCCTAGTCATCTCAACTGATGAAAATTTACGACTTCATCAATTGATTTTCCGTTCTCACCTAGTACTCGTTTCCTAACAACTGCATTACTTACTCGGCGGTTCCAGGATATAAGAGCAATGCTTCGAGAACTCTTATGTTCGAATACTAGTAGCCTACGAATATCCTGTACCCTTACCGGCCATATCTCACAGCCAAATAACATCAATTCTGTAACAACATAACCTTAACTGATCATTCATTTTAGTCACTCTTATACTTACGAATAAATAGTAAATCATTAATTTAATAAGATTTCCATTCTTTATTTTCAAGGTATTGGTTATGCGTGTACATTGATTAATTTCTTTCTCAATTGCTACTATACTGTGATATTGGCATGGGCATTTCATTTTATTTTTTCATCATTCACAAGTCAATTACCATGGACAAGATGTGATCAATCATGGAATACACCAGCATGTCGAGTTTTCACTAATCAACCAATAAATTCAAGTATAATTGAAAATACTACTCATATGAGTAATAACAGCTTAATAACAGTTGATGCAACTACAGAATATTGGGAGTAAGAAAATGAAAATCATTTGATTCCTTTAAAATTAATCGTTTGTAATATAATACTGAATTGGATAGATAGTTAAATACTAGTCATACTAGCTTGTAGTCGCTTCTGATGATTATGAGTAATATGAATAGTTTTGATGGAGTTCGGTTCTCTGAACTGGATGGTATGGTCGCGGAGCTTTTTTATCGTTCTTCTCAACGACATCATCAGCACGAACGTCAGATAGAAGTGAAGTGTTCGAATTTCTCCACATATGGTTCACATCTTGTCCTGTAGACCTCGATGTTGGTTGGTTCTTGTTGATCTTAAACCTATCATAGTTTACTTTGTTTTAGTTGTATCTCCCATTGGCTCAGAGAACAAAGCTCCATCAAAATCATCCATCTGAGCTACAAATCTTCTTCACCATCTCAATATAAATAGCATGTATAGTCCCTTCATATTAATACAGTGAATCCCACCGAAACTTTGTTCAAACCGTTCAAATGTTAGATATGGTCAAATTATATGCATCTTTAAGGATTAATGATGTGATCAAATCTTAACACACTGAATCAAATGAATTTATTATGACAATATAATAATAGCTATTATGAAGAGTTGAAATCCAAATTTAGACAGATATTTTTATTTATCAGAATGATGGTTTATAAAAATTGTAGTATTTTGTTGGTTGAATTCATGAGTCCATTTAATCTAGAACACCATGGAAAACCTAGAAGCACTGGACAGCCGTTTCGTCTTAGTATGGGACTTCTCAGTAGTGCACAACCACAATCCCGCATGTGGGATTCGAACTCAGGACGTTCGGTTTCGCGCATGAATGCTTAACCTCTAGACCACTGAAGCGGCTGTCATCCAAGGGTGTTAATGTCTAACTTCAACCACTCCATGACATCACACGACCGTCCATCATTGTCTTCACTGAGTAACTGGAAGAATAATAGTATATTTCTTAAATGATTTTAAAACAGATATGATCACATCATGTTACTTATTTATGAGAAGATTTAACTTCATCACTAAAAATTAACTGTCACTGCAGTCATTGCTCGAATTTTTTTATGGTGGATTAACCTATATAAGCATTGGTCCTTAGTGAAACACAATCAATTTTTTTAAACAAACAGATCTTTTACTTCCATTACGCCTCAAAAAGGATCGTAGACCATCCACCAGCATTCTCCATCCAATTCTGTCCTCGAAAATACTTTCCAGTTGCTATTCATCCTTTTCATGTTGCTTTACAATTCTCGACCTAGCCTGTTCTTTGACATTCGTCTTTTCCGTTTCCTTTCAGGATTACAAGTTAGCGCTTGTTTCGTGATGTGGTTTGATTATTTCTATCCACTTCCAAAATCTTTTGCTAATTTCCTCTTCAGCTGGAAGCTAGTTTTTCCTCTCTTACAGTAGGCTGTACCTGCTGGTTTTACATTAATACAAAACATTAAAAATTAAATAACTGTTTTTTATACAAATAAAGTTAAATCTCACTGATTGTAATCATGAGTCAATTGAAACTAGAACACCATGGAAAACCTGTAAGCACTGGACGGCCTTCTCGTCCGAGTATGTGACTGCTCAGAAGTGTGCATCCACGATCCGGCATCCCGCGAGATTCGAACCCAAGACCTATCAGTCTCGCACCAGGCGCTTAACCAACTAGACCACTGAGCCGACCGGCATCCAGTGGTGTTAATGTCTGACTTCAACCAATCCACGAAGTTGCGCCACCGTACACCATTGTCTTTAGTGAGTTGATATCTCACAACAGACCTGGTTGAACTCCACTGGTAACGGTTTCTCACTAGAACTCCAGGATTATCTCTTGAAGTCAGTCACTAGTTAGCAAGTGATTATTATTATCAGAATGGGTTTTGTGGAGAGTGAATGAGTGGGTAAGTAGGTAAGTAAATGAGTGAGTGAATGAGTAAGTCAGCAAGTAAGTAAGTAAGTAAGTAAGTAAGTATACAATCATTTTATGTAGTTTTAGACTTGCATACTACTCTGAAGTTTTCATAAATCCACGTATATTTTAACATATTTTTTTCTTTTAAACAGATATCGTGTATTGAGTATATCTGATGGTATACATAATATTGGAACAGTAAAATGGGATTTAGCTTTATGTCTTCTTTTCACTTGGGTTATTATATATTTATGCATTTGGAATGGGATTAAAACATCGGCAAAAGTAAGCATTTATTGATTTTTTTTTTAGAAATTACTGATGAGTGAACAAGTATTCGTTTGATGGGAAGGGGGATAAGTTACTTCTTGTTATATTCACTTTGAAAATAGCATGATCGTACATGAATATGGGATGCTTTCTGTTGGAACATTTGTCAAGCACTTTTTTCTGAATACCTTCTATACAGTTTTGTCAAGTAATAAAGATATTTTCAAACATATTTTATGGAGTTAAATTCATGAGCAAATTTCTTCATTTCTGACTTATTCTACATTATCAGCATCACTTACTTACTGAAGCTGCCTACTAGCATTCTCAAACCCACTTTGTCCTGGGCCTTCCTTTTCAGTTCTATCCAATTGTTCTTTATTCTCCTCACATCTGTCTCCATTTATCGGCATAATGTATTCTGTGGTCTTCCTCTTTTCCTCTGACTTTGAGGATTCCAAGTGAAGACTTACCTTGTGACGCAGTTGGGTGCTTTCGTCAATGTGCGTCCTATCCACTTCCATCGCTTTTTCCTGATTTCTTCCTCCGCTGGGATCTGGTTTGTCCTTTCCCCACAGTATTTTGTTACTGATAGTGCCTGGTCAACAAATCCGAAAAAATAAACACTTGTATCTTCTGGATGATGGCTTTCGTAATTGTCCAAGTTTCCGCTCCATACAGTAGAACTTTCTTGACATTTATATTGAAAATTTTGACTTTGGTGTTGATTGACAATTGTTTTGAGTTCCAGATGGTCTTCAATTGTTGATATACTGCTCTTGCTTTGCCGATCCGCGCCTTTACATATGCATCAGATCAATGATTTTGCCAATATATGTGGAAGTTTTTACATTTTCCAAAGCTTCTCCAACATGTGTAATACGATTGTTGTATCGGAGATTCTTGCTTTTCCATTTGTGTATGTTGAGACCTACTGCTTCTGAGGCTGCTGCTACACTGGCCGTTTTCTCTTGCATTTATTGTTGCGTGTGAGATAGAAGAGTGAGATCATCTGCAAAGTCCAGATTGTCCAGACGCATCCTAGCTGTTCCATCAGTATCACTGTCTCGATTAATTTCATAATCGTTGATTTATATCTCGATGGTTCACTTCAAGAAAGAGATACACCATTTTGTTTCTTATTTGTGTGTTTCTAAAGTGATTATATCAATGAATTCAACTAGAGATGAATGCTTTCAATAATGAAGAAATTTGTGGATGAACTAAACTTCGACTTCATTATAAACGATCTGATTTCCTTTTTATGAAGTTCCTTATTTCTCTTTAATTATTGTTAACTGTATAGTTAATCAAGTTATTGACTTTTATTAATTTGCATAGATTATGTATGTGACTGCACTTTTACCATATGGATTCATGTTTATTCTATTAATACGAACTGCTTTACTTGATGGTGCTTCAAATGGATTAATTCATTATTTAAAACCGGATTGGTCGAAATTAACAGATATGACAGTAAGCGGTCATAAGGAGTGTTCATTCTTCATCTTTTTTATTTCTAAACTATAATGATTGAATCGTGTAAATTATTAAATTGTGTATGGTGTGGGTTACTTATATCCATATAAGTAGTATATAACGGTGGTCAGGCAAAGAATGTATTTCAGCAGAAGATCGATAGGAAAAGTACGGAAACGGGACGTAGTTGATATGAAAATGCATGAATAATTAAATCTGAGACAATGGACTGATATTTCCAAAAGGAACAGTCAAGCTTGAGACTATGTTTTAATATTTTACAAATTAACTATTTACTATGTAGTTGAGATGCTCTGTAATATCTTACCGTATACAATCGATTGTCTCCACTCGTATTCTGTTCATTACAAGTGTACTATTGAAAAACCAAAGATGTTATGCAGAGTGTGGTGTTTCTGAAGAATCCCATGGATCTAAATTGATTTCATTATGTTTCATAATTTCAAGCAAAATATTTTCACTGATACATCTCAATATAGTGAACGAAACGAATATGACAAAATTTGTTTGTTTGAACACATAAATATTGGTGTATAAGGGCACTGAATATATATGTGCACCACACAAGTTACTTGATTTGTGTGTCGGCTGTGATACTGCCCGGGTACCCAAACCGAAACAGGTGGTTTTCCTAAAGGGACACATCTAGAGCCTTCGACCTAAACGTCTGATCCACAAGGTAGTGGAACAATGTAACGAGATGCAGTCGCATGATAGCCGGTCACCAACGATTGGTTCATACTCCATTTGTTCCCTCAGGATACTGGAGCCCATGTGCACTATTGGTTTGGAATCAGGGTTTTTTAACTCCCCTAGATGGACTCTTCGTGTCCACCAACTCGGACATTCGGTTTTCATCCTCACAGTTTCGTAAACAACAGTAATGCCACGAGAAGTCAGTGAATATGACGTCCCTGTTAGTGGCTGTATACATGTGGCCATGTGAGAGTATTTTGAGAGCGATAGCTGACTGTCCCCACCTTTGGCCATACGAGGGTAACGTAATCCTCAAATTACATAATTTCACTAGCTCATATTTCAACAATCTAATCGGAACGCAAAATTAATTAACTTTGCAAATCACCCATTATTCACCATTTGTACTGTAAATTCAAATGTTTAATCGGCCAAATAAATTATTCATAACTAATTTTTCACCTTTCCCTCTTCATGTATCAACATTGGTTTCCTTTTTGATTGAGATCATGAACCGATTGATATTAGACCGCAATTGAAAACCTGGAAGCACTGGATGAGCGTTTCGTCCTAGTATGGGACTACTCGGCAGTGCGCATCTACGATCCCAAACATGGGATTCGAATCCAGGACATTCGGTTTTGTGCGTGAACGCTTAAAAAAAAAGACTATTTATCATAAAATTGGACAAGATTATACGTTACTTAAACGATTATTGCATCATTTGCCAAATCATTTAGCGAAACTGAGATTGCATGTATTAATTCTTATATACACTGAATCACAATTCATTTGTACTATGAGAATGTATGATGTTTATGGCATTCTCTTATTGTGATATAAAAATATTTTGTGCTTATTGTTCAACATCTCTCAGACCTACGTGTAAACGTTTCTTCATCTCAGACATTCTCAATAAACCACTTCTGTATAGTTGATATATCAATGAATAATACTGATACCATATTAGTCTAGTCCTTCAAATTCTGAACGTATTCGTTTGATCGAGTTGCAATTCGGGCATCAGTTTAGGTAATTCGACATCATTTACACTATCTTGAAATATTGGTTGGTTGACGATGATTAAAAGGAAACTATAAACTTAACTTGGTAATTGACGATAAAAATTGTCTGTAACCTCGAAGAGTTAGTGTTCTCAGTGAGATTCATACCTGTGTCACCTTACTTCATAGTCTGAGATAGTTCAACTGAACTATTCGGGCAATAACTGACCTTCTTTAGGTCTGAAATGCTAACAAAATATCATTGATTATATGTTTCGGATTAAACAAAACACTTATAACCAACTTCTTACATGAGTGGTATAAAGTGTACTATTAACTGTCATTATCCTGCTATCATTACTGAACTACATATGTGAAGTACCTTATCAAGTTGATAATATAATGATATAATAAAAAGTTTAGTAGAGAAGATTTATAGCTCAAATGGATGATTTTAATGAAGTTTTGTTCTTTACACTGAATGATTTGATCATCAGGCTTTCATCGTTCTTGTGAAGTTTGTCGCTCATGATGTATCGTTCAATGATCTAGTACGTCCAAATGTTGTTTTATGATATGATCATCTTAACAGTTATACAATGAATAATCATTGTTGTATGATTTACTTGTTCATTATTATTTTCTCTATTACAAAATTCATTTTAAAGGTTTGGTCGGATGCAGGAACTCAAATATTTTTTAGTTATAGCCTTGGTTTAGGTGTATTAACTTCTTTTGGTAGTTATAATCAATTTCATCATAATTCTTTACGGTAAGTATCATTTAAAATATAAGAATAATATTGATTGATTGACTAAATTTAGAAACATTAATTAAGCATGTTACTCCTAGTGATGGAGTATAGATCGCTAACCAGCATTTCCCATTCAACCCTGTCCTGGGCAATACTCTCCAGTTCATTCCAGTTGTTATTCATCCTTCTCATGTCTGCTTCCATTTCCCGACGCAATGAGTTCTTTGGCTTTCCACTTTTCCCCTTCCCTTCAGGATTCCAAGTAAGGGCTTGTCTCGTGATGCAGTTTAATGATTTGCGTAATGTATGTCCTATCCATTTCCAGTGTTCTTTTATAATTTCCTCTTCAGCTGGAAGATGGTTTGTTCTTTCCCACAGTGGACTGTTTCTGATGGTATCTGGCCAATGCATGTTGAGTATCTTACGTAGACAACTTTTCATAAATACTTTTACCTTCTTGAATGAAGTATTTATTGTATGGTTCTCAGATTTTACTAAGAAATTCTGTAATTTTGTATTCAAACACATTCTATTGTTAATTGATTAATTGACCTTGAGGTTGGCTAGGAGAGGAGAAGCGGTTGAAGATTGTTCTTATTTGTATTCTCGTTCACCACAACACTGCTAATTAAAATGGCATCCATTCAGTATGTTACATGACAATGAAAGTCATAATCTGTTCAAATATGACTGATCACTTATTGATCTGACTTATTATTTATTTGATGAATAGGATACAGAAATGGAAACTACCAAAAGCTTTAAGAAAATCAACTGACGACATTCAATTCATGTTGTAATGAACGAGAACACAAGTAGGGACAGTCGAATGTATTTGCATATAAAATAACAGAACATCTTAGTAAAATCTGTGAACCATACAGTAAATACTTCTATTGTATAATGTCAATCAATCGTCTTGAACTTCACTGTTCCTTCGTTTCCACACCAATCATTGTCTGTTCTCGTTCTCTATTTCTTTTCGATCTTCTTATCCTTCTACCTACAGGTATTTCACTTTCTATTGATGATATATACTACTTATATCTGTTACTTTTACCGAAATCTTGATCTATTTCAAGTATTGTCAAATGATACTTATTAACAATGTAATACTTGTGTAGATGTAACATGTTGAATAATTACAACTATTCATTTAGAATAATGATTAGATCACAAGTTACAGTTAGGAATTCATTGATGAATGGGTTGTTTAAATGTTTGAGTCATATATTTTTATCATTTGTGCCAATAATGAAATTAAACTACTTATATTTCATCTATTTAATACGGAATAATTGTAAATGTTCCAATATATACATATATATTCACATTTTATCATTTAGGTATGCCAACTTGGACCGATGCATAAATGTGCCTGGTTCTACATTGTAACTGACTGACTCATTGACTGACTGACATTCTATCATACAAAGATTAATAATGCTAAATACCAGAAAAAAACGAAGAAACTCACATGGAAACACTGAAATTATTGGCATGTTTTCGTTTTTATTTATCCTTTTAAGAAACAGAAAATGAAGGGGGGGGAGAGAAATAGATAAATTAGAATTTGATACACTGTAAGATAAGTGTACCATCAGAAGTGGTAGGAAACTCTAATGATTGAGCATTTTATTTATTTATTTATTTTAACACATAGATGTTGGTACAAACGGGCACCAGATACATATGCGCCACACAAATCAAATGAAATTTGTGTGAGGGCTGTGATACTGCCCGGTTGCGCAAACCGAAATAGGTGGTGTTCTTAGGGGGCCACACCCGGAGCCTTTGACCTGAAGGTTTGATCCGTAAGGCAGTGGAACATCGTAAGGAGGTGCAGTCCCATGGTGGTCGGTGACCAACGAATGGTCCATACGCCATTTGTTCCATCAGGATCCTGTAGACCATTATTATTATTATTATTATTATTATTATTATTATTATTATTATTATTATTATTATTATTATTATTAATGGCTTTATTCAATATTATATTTTGGTACAATATAGAATTCTCAGCACAGGGTATTTCAACAAGTTACTTACTGAACAACGAACAAAAAAGATAGTAGCGAATATATAAAGAAATATATAAATAAAAATTTTAAAAAAAAAAACCCAAAAGAAACTACAAACTTTTAAAATTAAAGACATGTTAAGAATGTAAGTTATTGACTAAGTTAATTCTGACAACCTGTTCGTCACAGAGTATATTTGCTAGGTAAGGTATAATAGAACTTTTATACTTTTCCTTGCGTGCAAGGATTTTTATGTAATTACGTCTCGTTCTACCAGAAGATATACAAGGAGAAAGATAAGAGTGAAGGGGATGGCTAGTATCTGATAAAATAATACCTGCCAGGAGTTTGCATGATTTTAAATGTCTGTCCACAACCATATTAATTATGACCTCGAAAGATTCACCGCACGTCTTACTAACTGCCTTTAGCACTCTTCGCAATACAGCAAAGTCTTTTCTCAAAAGCCCGGGAAAGAATAATGGAGAACAGTAAAGAATAATAGGTAATATGCAAGAATTGACAAATTGTAAGAGAAAATGACGAGTAATTCCAAGAGCATGCAATCTCTTTATGTAGTAGGTCAGACGGAAAACCTTCTTTGATAACGCATCATTGGTTTGAAATCAGGGTTTTTAACACGCCTATGTGAACACTCCGTGTCCAACAACCCGGTTAAAGTGCCCAATATTCGCTTTTTGTCATCTCAATTTGGTAAGGAACAGTGATGCCACATGAAAGTAGTGAGTAGGACTTCCCTGGCAGAGGCTATATACTCGTAGCCATGTGAGGCGATTTTTCAAGGGAGAGCTGACTCTCCCCACTCTCAGCCGTATCATGGTATTTGAGGGCTAATGATTGAGTATGTTTGACCGATACAAACTGTTGAAAATATTTAGAAGATTGGGTGAAACTTTAATTCATGGACGACCTTTGAGCGACGCTAGACTGACCTTGAGAGTGTTCACCTAACACCTAGGACCAAACGAAGGTTATAAACCAGTGTGAGGAATTCGAATTATGATGGTTAAGGTTCGGAATTAGATTTAGGGAACCAATCAAATATATGAAAATAGGTTATAGATTTTGGCACGAAATTCATTCATTCATTTGACTAAAAAGAGTTTTGACATTAAAGCTGATGTCAGTTGGTGATGAAAACCCTAAATCTAATTTCTCACACTGCTTTATAACCCTCATTTGGTTCTGATTATTAGATGAGCACTCTCAAAGTCAGTCTAGCGTCGCTCAAAGGTCGTCCGTAAATTATAGACCCACCGAGATATTTGTTATAATATTTTAAAACTAGTGCTTAGATGTTCTTACTGTACAAAATCAATAGTATTAAATCAAGTTATAATGTAGTGGCTTAGCCTCGTTAATCATCAATCACTTTGATAACCGTTATCATATAAACTTCAAGGGTGTTTGAAATGAGAAGACAATAAGAAACGGTGACTACAGTTTACTAGCGGATAGTACAGATCACAAAGCTACAAGTACATCGAGCGAATTTGAAGCAGAGAGGGGAAATGCAAATACACAGGTGAATTATTAGTCAAACCGAATAAGGTACAGGTAGTCAGGCAAGGTAAATGCTAATAATAGGATTCGAGTACATATATACATGAGGAAGACAATGAATCATCGGGTGATATTTAAGATAATAGCATTTTAGCCAGAGAGAGATATGGCAAAGTAAGCGTTACATTCCTGCAATTGACGAACATATAGAACTCACAACAACTATCAACCGCTATCAAAATCACAGTCTTCAATACGAACGTCAAGGCAGTTCTACTGTACGGAGCTGAAACTTGGAGAACTACATCAACCACCATCAAGAAGGTACAAGTATTTATAAATAGTTGTCTTTGCAAGATACTCAACATTCATTGGCCAGATACCATCAGCAATAGCCTTCTGTGGAAGAGAACAAACCATCTTCCAGCTGAAGAGGAAATTATAAAAGAACACTGGAAATGGATAGGACATACATTACGCGAATCATCAAACTGCATCACGAGACAAGCCCTAACTTGGAATCCTGAAGGGAAACGGAAAGGAGAAATTTCAAAGAACAGATTACATTGGGAAATGGAAGCAGACATGAGAAGGATGAATAACAACTGGAATGAACTGGAGAGTATTGCCTAGGACAGTGTTGAATGGGGAATGTTTATGGGCAGCTTATGCTGCTCCACGAAGGGTAACAGGTGTAAGTAAGTAAGCAGAGAGAGATATGTCCGTAGGTTGTTACTTGTGATCAAGAATACACTTTTATACGGTCGTGTTAGTGATCATAATAACACTAAGAAATAGACGACTTGCTACTGTTTGAATACCGTTGTCTGTTAATTAAGTTAATAAAAGGGCTTAACCAAAATTTAACTATAATCGAAACTGATTGTTTGAGAGTTGCTATAATAATGATAATGATAGTAATATATGTGACACTAAATGTTTCATTTTTAACACCAGTGATTAACCAGAGTGTAATTTACTGAGAGGCTAGTTCTTTTAAGAGAAAATTAACAATGACAAACAAACAAAGTATTCTACTTTGTATTATTTACTTGAAACTTCCCATTGATGTTTAGCACTGCGATTGATCAACCTCTGATTGGCATATGTGCATTCTATGCGGACTACTTCGATACTGCTTTAATTCACAAGCATTCTAAACAAGTATCTATCAGGATTTAGTAGTTAAGTGGATGACGCGATGAAGTTTCAAGTAAACGGCATTGAGTTCGAGTCACAGAGGGGATATCAACTCTAGGATGCAGGTAAATCCAACTGAAGACTCCCATATGGGACGAAACACACGTCCTGCATTCCACTGCTAGCCATTATCCATCGTTGATTATAAAACAGAGTAATCGTTTAAAAATTTGTTTCAGCTGATTGAACTATCATTGATGATTCTTCTTTTCTTTTATTATCACAGTGTTATCAATGGAAGATTAAACTAACGACATGCTATTGAACAGTTGCTTTATCATTTAAAACAACAGAACTTTTTAAAAAATTGCTTGCAATATTAAATACCAGTATAGGGCTGTGGAGATTATTAGGCTTTTGATTGAGATCATGAACCGATTGATGTTAGAACACCATTGAAAACATGGGAGCACTGGACAGCCGTGACCAGTGGAGCTTATCCGTTTATGGTAGAGAAAGGTATTTACCTCAGTACATTGGAAGATGGTTACGCAATTTCGCGGATTGGTTGAGGTTAGACATTAACACTGTTGGATGCCTACCGACTCAGTGATCTAGAGTTTAAGCGTTCGCGCGAGAGACCGAAGGTCCTGGGTTCGAATCTTGGGAGCTGGATCATGGACGTGCGCTGCTGAGGAGTTTTATAATAGGACGAGACGGCCGTCCAGTGCTTACAGGTTTTCAATGGTGATCTAACATCAATCAGTTCATGATCTCATCATTAATTACATTGATTCTTGTTTTCCCCGATTTATATCGATTAGCATCATACAGGGACCATATTACCTTATTGAAATACTAATTTTCTCTTTTTTATTGCTTATCAATTAGAGATTGCTGCCTATTTGCATTGGTTAATACATTTACAAGTTTATTATCTGGATGTGTTATATTTTGTACACTTGGTTATATGTCATATATATCAAATATACCATTGAATCAAATAGCTGAATCTGGTCCTGGACTTGGTTTTATTGTATATCCAAAAGCAATTGGTACTATGCCAGGTAGCCCATTCTGGTCAATATGTTTTTTTATTATGATTATCCTATTGGGTATTGACAGTATGGTAAGTACTATGAACAGGTTTTCTTTTTTTTTCATATCTAACTTATTATCTTATGAAGTAATCTATAAATATAGTGTGAAGTTCGAGATGATGGAGAAGATTTATAGTCCAGGTGGATGATTTTGAAGAAGTTTCGTTCTCTAAGCTGGAATGTTTGGTCATGGAGATTTCGTCGTTCTTCTCAATGACATGATCAGCACAAACTTCAAATAGAAGTGGTGCTCGAATTTCTTGCCAGAACAAGCTTTGAGCTATATGTGGAGAAATTCGAACACGTCACATCTATTTGAAGTTTGTGTTGATGATGTCGTTGAAAAGAATGATGAATGCTCCACGACCAAATCATCCAGCTTAGAGAACAAAACTTCATCAATAGTGTGAAGCTCAATGATGAAAGTGTAATTCTTGATTACTTACTTAATTACTTACGGCTGTTACTCCCAATGGAGCATTGGTCGCTGATTAGCCTCCTTTAACTCATTCTGTCCTGGGCAGTAGCCCAAGAGGGGCTCCAGATGGAGTTCATAGTTGATAAAGGAAGTGATATTTTCGATCAGGATAATCTATTCATTTGTGCATCAATATATCAACTCGTCTGGAATGTAGATAATAATATAATCTTCTGTGACTTCAGTTGGTAAGCATGTTAAAGCTTGTACGTTTTATCTTAACTACAACAACAACAAAAACGACAACACAAAGAAGTTATAATCGTACAAAATTAAAGATCGATATTTCCAAGTAAACCTAGAACAACCAACATGTTCCACGAATTCAATGACTTGATGATAAACGTCCTTCATGAAGTTTGAATAATTATATTTCGATGATTATTGATTTGTAAAATATAATCTCAGTGAAAGGTATTCTTTGGTTAATGTTTACTTTAACCGATAGATAAGTTGATCATTCACAGAATGCCATTGTATAATACAATCTTCAAATATTAGTTATTCTGATATGTATATTTACTAGAGAAGTGATTATTTTCAATATTTCAAATCATAAGTCAATTGAAGCTAGACCATCATGGAAAACCTGGAAGTACTAGATGACCGTTTCGTCCTAGTATGGGACTCCTCAAAAATGCACATCAACGACTCCGCTCGCGGAATTCGAATCCAGGACCTTTAGTCTCGAATGCGAACGCTTAACCTCTTGACAACTGAGCCGACCGTCATCCAACAGTGTTAATGTCTAACTTTAACCAATCCACAGAATTTCACCACTATCTTCCATTGAACATACATTAACTGCTTAATAATTATTCACTATTTCATTTGCAATTTGAATTCTAAAATCTGTTATTTTTTTATAAACAGTTCGCAGGAGTTGAAGGTTTCATAGCAGCTGCAGGGGATTATTTTCCTCTTGCTTTAACGAGCAAAAGGTTTCGTTGTATATTTGTCGGTTGTGTATGTATTACATCATATTTAGTTGGTCTATCAATGGTCACTAATGTAAGTTGATTCACTTGCTCTTCCTTGATCTCAACTTGAATTTTAAGTGAATTTTCTATTTACTAAGCTCTCTAACAATGAGGAATGGAGTAAATTAAAAGATAATTTAAAGCAATGTGAAACTAAAGTCAGAACTGTGAATTCTTAGTTAACAGAGTCGACCAGAGAAGTTGGCGAAATTTATGACTCCGTTGATGTTTCGAAATTCCTTTCGCTAACATGTTCGTTAGGAAAGTTATTTTAATGTGTAATTGCTTGTTTTCTTGAGCGTTGACTGTAGTTTAAAGGAATGGAATTTTCTTGGGAATACTGAATGGTCACTTCAACCTTAAGTTTGTGTTTCCCACGTGAAGGATCTTAAATGTTATCGGTTTGTTTCCTCTTTTACTACTCTATGTTTTTGGCGTTTCTCGAGAATATTTTTGTACTGTGCACATACACATGAGTTGTGTACTTACCGTTCGTTCTTTTGGGTTGCTTGAAGAATATATATATATATATATATATATATATATATTTCCCCATATGAATCTGGTCTTCCTGATCCATTTAGTAGGGCTGGAGCACAGTGGAACAGCTTAGCTTGTCATGTTGTAGTGTTGTTGACTTTACTCCCGTTTTCCGGTTTTAAGTGATATCGTAATCTTTTCAAAAGTAGCAAGATAAAAGAAGTTTGATGTGTAATCTTCATACTGCTATTCAACCGATTTGTCCTCCATTCACTTACCTTGTCACATTTTTCATCAATATACAATAACTGTTCTCTTTTGTTTATACACTTTTCTTTAGGGTGGAATGTATGTATTTCAATTACTTGACTATTACAGTGGAAGTCGTATCATATTGATTGTGGGATTGTTAGAATCGTTAGTGATTGGATACATTTATGGTTAGTTCAAATATAATTTATTCGAAGAAGTTTATATTAATTCACTTGGTATTGTTTGGCTTGTATCTTCCCATTGAGATTTAAGACTGCAATTGATCAGTCTGTTATTGGCATACGTACATACTGTGCATATGCCTCGATGTTGCCTTAATTCACAAGCTTTTTGTAAGCAATGATGGATAATGGTTAGCAGCGGAATCCATGACGCGTGTTTTGCATTATTTTGGACTCATCAGATGGATGTACCTGCATTTGAGTTGATGTCCACTCTGGGACTCGAACCCTGTACCAGTTGCTTCGAACGCCATCACCTTATCCACTCAGCTACTGAGTCTGAAGCTACTGAGTTTGAAGCGAATGGTACTGGGTTCGAGTCCCAGAGTGAGCATCAACTCAGAGATGCAGGTACATTCAGATGATGAGTCCCCAATAGGACGAAACGCGCGTCCTGGATTCCACTGCTAACCAGTATCCATCAGTGCTTACAAGAAGTTTATATTAGTTCAAATATTTTACAGTTAGAGGCGATAAAAGTGAATATTAAAGTATCATTGGAATGGATGTGATTTTCTGAATTGAATCTAATATGTTTACATTCTGTCATTTACTTAAGTTTTCTTAATTTAGATATTTCATCAGACAATACAGAGTAGCTAGTATTTTTTTGAAGAAAAAATGAAGAAACCAGTTTATATATTTTCTACTTTTATTTCGTGCTACTTAAATAGCTAATTTAAGTAGTTTTATGTCAGATATTTTTCAAATAAAAAAATGGTAACCACTGTATTGAATTATCAATCGAGTGACATAAATATTGAGTACCTTTTACTGTTTATCAACATTTTATATCTAAAAATAAGGGCTTTGAAATGATTAAAAGGACCGTGTCATTCAAGAGAACGTTTCTAGACTGATATTATACTTACAAATAACAATAGACACCGGATGGCCAACATAAACTCACTAGCCAGTTGTATTGTCTTAGGCACAAAATAAACAATCAATTCGTTCCTTCTTTATTTACCAAATGGCAAAATGGGAATTTTCACTCAATAAGACAATCGTTGGCTAAAACGGGTATCTTATGATAGAAGAGTAGACTTTGGAGGTGAATGTAATTCAACAAATAATGATGAACCAAGTTAGTAAATAATATACTAATTGAATAATATTACCTATGAGATGGTGGAGAAGATTTGTAGCTCAGGTGGATGATTTTGATGTAGTTTTGTTCTCCGAATTTGCGTTGGAGCTCTGAGCTGAGAGAACAAAATTACCTATGCTAATTAAATTTCATTTTGAGATCTATTTCGCCAAGTACATATATCATTTCACAGTGGTTCAGTCAAAAATATCTTTTAAATTTCCTTTTCCCAAAAGAAATTAAGAACATATATGCAAATTTTTGTATGAATCATAACTGGTCGAACTTAGACATTAACACCTTCGGATGCCAGTCGGCTCAGGGGTCTGGAGGTTATGCGTTCGCACGTGAGACTCAGGATCCAGAGTCCGAGTCTCATGGCAGGATCGTGGATGCTCACTGCTGAGGAGTCCCATACTAGGACGAGACGGCTGTTCAGTTCTTTCAGGTTTCCTATGATGGTCTAGCTTTAATGGACTTATGAATTCAGCTATTAAATCATAATTAGGTCTGCAAAAACTTATGTAGCATAGTTTTTTAAAAATTAATTTGCATGTATTAAGATTATTTCCATTAAGAATAGACGTTAGATTGATAAATGATGAAACCCAAAGTGTATAATTCAGCCATTCCACCATTGTTTAGGGTTTCCCTCAGGTAACTACAGAATATAAGACGTTTGCGTAAAACACACTTAAATCAATGACTGATTTATCAATGATGTCATGTTTACTGTAAGACAATAGAAGATTATGGGTTGGATTTCGTGTAGTTCGATGGATGTAGATCTCTATGAACCATAAACAACACTTTAAGGGTTTCTGCTTGTAAGTCTGAGAAAAGTTTTTTTTAATCTCTCTGTTCTATTGTTTTTCTAACTACAGGTTACAAACGTATTTCAAATGACATGAAAATGATGTATGGTTTCTCATTAAAATGGATTACATGCATATTCTGGTGTATAGTAACACCAATATTTACTTTTGTAAGTGTTATTCAGAATTTATATTCGGTAGATAAATACTGTTCAAGTTGTCAATAAACATTTGTATTGTCTATTCGAATCTTCCCATTGATATTAAGCACTGCAGTTGATCAGTCTCTTATTGGCATATGTGCATACTATGTGTATTGCTTAGATACTGCCTCAATTCACAAGCATTATAAGGACGTGACTATCAGGACTCAATAGTTAAGTGGATAACGTGATGACGATTGAAGCAAAGGGTATTGGAATCGAGTCTCAGAGTGAACATCAACTCTGAGTTGCAGGTACATTCAGATGATGAGTCCCAAATAAAACGAAACGTGCGTCATGGATTTCACTGCTAACCACTATCCATTATTGCTTACAACACATTTACGTTATTCTCTAATTTGTAAACAACTTTATTAGAATCAAGTGATTAGAATGTCTTGTAAAGTGTCTTCCTATAAATTCTATAAACATTGAAAAGAGTAAGAATAATCAGTTTGATCTTAACCTCAAGGTCTCATGTTACTAACTCTTCATCACTGATAATTGTCAGGATATTCTTGACTATCTGTTAATAAGTTGAGGAGTCCCACACTAGGACGAAACGACCGTCCAGTGATTCCAGGTTTATCATGGTAGTCTAGCTTTAATGGACTCATAAACTCAATAATAAAATCAATAAACTGATCTCTGTAAAAGAAACTCTATTAAACCCTGTAGAAATTAGCTATGATTTGGCATTATTTAGTTAATTTAGTCCAATATTATTAAAATGCATTGTGGTTTCTAAGTTAGATAGTTTATTCATGAAGCTTTTATTTTGTAATACACAACATCAGTATTTAACTGAACGCCCCCAAATGGCCTGGTACGGCCGAGAGTGGAGAGAGCCCGTTCTCCCTCTCGAAATACTCTCACATGGCTATGCGTATACAGCCACTAACAGGGAAGTCATATTCACTGACTTCTCGTGGCATTACTGTTGTCTACCAAATTGAGAGGAAGAAAAGCGAATTTTCGTGTTGGTGGACATGGCGAGTCTTGAAGCAACAAATGGCGTATGAACCAATCGATGGTGACGGGCTATCATGGGACGGCATCTCCTTACGATGCTCCACTGACTTGTGGATCAGATTTCTAGGTCGGAGGCTCCGAGTGTGGCTCACTAGGAATACTACCTGTTTCGGTCTGGGAATCCGAGCAGGATTACAGCCGACACACAAACCAAGTGAGATTTGTGTGGCGCATCTGTATCTGGTATCTCCTTGTACCAAAATAAATAAATAATTTAATTGAACGAGAAGTGAACAATTAGAACTTCATTACAATTGATTAACAGCTTGTTCCTCTAGTCTGAAACAAAGTTGATTGATTGTTGTTCAATCTGTACGGTCACTATTTGCATGTTTGTTTTCGTTCAAACTGACCAAGCTAATAGGAAAAAGAAATAATAACTACAAGCTCAAAGGTAAAACAATCAAATAAACAAATAATCAATGACCACATTGTAATGGATAACAACTAGGTGAATTTCAGAACAATAGAACAAGCTGTTAGTCAAATATAGAGATCTCACTTCTCTCTGAACTAAGTGCTGATAATGTTGTACAGTAGTACAATGACTACATGATGAATAATAGTGAGATTTAATACACTCAGTTGGTTTTATCAACTACTGTCTAGATTGGCTGAGTAGTATAATGCTTTGATTCAAACCTGAATATTCTGATATTTTGTCAGTGATTTAGTTAAACTTACTGAGTAATCTTATATTCAGCAAGAAACGAACATATTGTTGTTGTAAACAAGAAATATTTATAATATCCCAATGAGTAGAAACATTAGGCTTTTAGAATTTCAGATGTTTTGTAACTCAGTGTAGGTCACTTCTTCAGAGAGTGAATAAAAAAATTAATTTAATCTAATTGCGATTCATTGGGATATGCTGAGCAGCAGATTGTTCTGTTCTACTTTATGGCTAAGAAACGTGGTCATTAAGAGTAGAAGATACTCATAAGTTACTAGAATTTGATCACAGATACCTTAGAAATATTGCTCGCATCTTCTACGATCACCGAGTAAGTAATATTGAGGTTAGACGTAGGGTATTAGGGAATGATGATTGTAAATCAGTTGATGAGGTTGTGAATCTTCATCGACTGAGATGGTTGGGCCACGTGTTGCGTATGCCTGAACACCGATTACCACGACATGCAATGCTAACTGGTGTTAGAGATGGTTGGAAGAAAGTTAGGGGCGGCCAAACCAAAACATGGCATCAGTCCACAAAGTCACTAAATTTCTGATCTGAGCCATGTTGGTAGATGTAAGCTAGTTGGTTGGGGTCCGTGTGACTATCGTAACCAATGGTTGGAGACTGTGGATGACATGTCTCAGAACCGATCACAATGGCGTCAGTGTATACACTCTCTATCTTCCCTTAAACTATGAGACTAAAATTATTTCATTTTTTTTCTACGAACTAACTTTCATCCCGTACTATATCCTTATATGCAATCTTTGTTTTATGTATTACCACCATTTTATTAACTACTTCTATGAATTCGGTGTTCATCTTGTTGTGCTAATGAGGTATGGCAACTTGGACCGATGTATGTACGTGCCTAGTTCTACGTTGTAGCTGACTGACTGACCCGATGCTCATTTTATTTGAAATTATCAAGTCAAACCTTGTTAAAAACACATATATTGGTGGTTAGTTTATAATGTAATTTATTATCAGATTGACTTTCCAACATTACTTTACTATGTTTTCTATTTGCAAGTGAATGAATGTGTTGTTGTATTTTCTTTGCGGAAAAATTCTAGGCTCTTTTCATCATCAGCGTTATTGTTTATGAGGAGTTAACTTATAAACGGGCATCAATTCATAAACCATATCGATTCCCAGGATGGGCCGTAAAAGTTGGCTGGCTTATAGCTAGTTCCAGTGTGCTTTTAATACCACTTGTAATGATTATTAAAATTTTTCAAACATCAGGAACACTTATACAGGTAACTTGTTAGTCATTTCTCTATTTGGTTAGTTTTTTGTGATGGTAGATACAACTCTGGTTTTAAAATCCTTAATTCATTCATTTGAAACCTATCCGGAACCAGTAGGTCCTGGGTTCGAGTCTTGCAGGGGGTGAGATCGTGGGTGCACACTGCTGAGGAGTCTTATACTAGGACGAAACGGCCTTCCAGGGCTTCCAGGTTTTCAATGGTGGTCTAGCTTCAATTGACTCATGATTTCAAGTAGTGAAATTTCTAAAATCTCCACAAACCCCTCCTGATAATAATTAAATTCATTTATTAAAGCCAAAGGGGAGATAAGGGTGTTACGAATTTCTTATGAACACAAAGACTTGGATTGTTGGTTCCAATTCCTATAGCTTCTGCTATGTATAAGAGACGAGATCGAACACCATAAGGAAAACTAGTGGGAATACGATAAATAACATTAAATGACTTGCTTCTGTCCACTACATGACAGCTATCGATCGTGTGATGGAACGGAGCTGCGTATTGTCTTGACATTAGCTTTTTCTAACCACGAAGTGAGGTGTTCACTAACTCTTTGGTTCAGTTATTTGGTAGTGCGCCTAATATAGCTTCCTCCACAGGACCAGCTGAATTCGTAAATACACATAGAGGTGGCATAACCAGGTAACTTATACTTTAATTGGGAAATCACCATAGATCGGGTCGAGTACAATAGACAGAGGTTAGCTGCATTAAACGTTCTCTTCACTACACTAGTCAATCTATCACGTAGTACATCACCAGTTACATCATCATTGAATTGTAGCTTCAAGAAAAGAGGTTTCTTATTAGCCGTTAGTGTCACTATTTTCTTGTTTGTTACAAGCAATTGTTTCTTCAGGAAACCCTGTGGATATTCCAACTCAATCAACATATTATGAATGTACTCTAATTCTTTATCATTTGTGTCAAATGAGAATATCTTAACAGCTCTATTTGCCAGACATTTGACTAAGTTTCTCTTATAATGAAGGGGTACAAAGCTTAAGAAATATGTGTATTGGCTTGATGAAGAACTTTTTCTGTATACACTTCTACTGATAGAACCGTTTTCTTTTCTATTTAACAAAACGTCAAGGATATGTAGTTTATTATCTAGTTCCTGTTCACATGTAAATTTAATTGCAGGATGTTTGCTATTAACTAGTTCTAGTAGTTGTTCTTTTCTAATGTCCTCATTGGCAATGATGAAAGTATCATCAACGTAACAACAATAGAAATCAAGCTTATTGATAACCTCTATGAGAGGTCCGTTTTCTAGTTTCGCCGGAAAAAATCCGAAAGGATGGGACCTAGAGGCGAACCCATCGCTATACCATCAATTTGTCTATAATATATGTTATTAAAGACAAAATGGACATTCATTGTGCATTTCAAAAGTAATTCTTTAAGACTAACCTCAGGAATTCCAATATTGATTTGTTTTTCCTGTAGTTGTTGGCACATAAAATCAATAGTCTCCGTTAATGGTAAATTGGTGAACAGGGAAGCAACATCTAAAGATTTCATCCATTTCCCATTTAAGTCCATATGTTCCGCTTTAGAAAGCCTGACGAGGATCTAATGGAAAACAATATTGTTCGCTTATATATGTTGCTCTAAATTTTACTTCCTAATTTATGGTGGGATGTGGTCTGTTTGGCTGATATATAGACGAAGTATGTTTGAAATGCATGATTCACATAGTGGAATCTGGTATTGATGTACTAGACTCAACTGGCAGGGGTTACAGGAGTAAGTAAGTAAAGTAAGTAGATAAAAAATTACAACATTCATAATACAAGTTTCTATGTTGTTCCGTATACAGGATTTATAATGGTGATCAGATAGAAATTAAAAATGATTAATCTTCTTATCTGTTTTTGATTGAGATCATGAAATGATTGATGTTAGACCACCATGGAAAACCTGGAAGCACTGTACGGCCGTTTCGTCTTAGTATGGGACCCCTCAGCAACGCGCATCCGTGACCCCGCTCGCACGATCCGAACCCAGAGCCTCCGTTCTCACGCGCGAACGGTTAACCTCTAGACCAGTGAGCCGGCCGGCATCCTACGGTGTCCATGTCTAACCTCGACCAGTCCACGAAATTGCGCGATGCAATCCAGCTTGCGGGATCGTGGATGCGCATTGCTGAGGAGTCCCACAATAGAACGAAACGGCTGACCAGTGCTTCCAGGTTTTCAATATTAGTCTAACATCTATCGGTTCATGATCTCAATCGAAAACTTAATAATCTCCACGATCCTATAATGATAATTCTTATCTGTAGCTGATATGAATTATTCAAAAGTGTATTTTCTTTCCATGGTATCGATCGATTTAATTGTTTTTGTATTTTTTTTTCATTTTGATCTTCTTATCAAAGAGAATAAAAACTTTATGTATTCCGATTATTGATAACAGTAATACAGAGATTTCAAGTGAGTACTCACAATTTTTGTTCTATTGTTCATTTTATGTCATTAATTTAAGTATATTTTTAAGTGAAAATGTAAAGGATAAAAGAACTCCTTGCTGAATATAAGGACTAAACGCGCATCCTGGATTCTGCTGCTAGCCACCATCATCCATCTCTGCTTTGAATGCTTGTGAATTAAGACAATATCGAGACAATCCACACAGTGTGCACATATGTCACTAAGAGACTGGTCAATTGCAGTGATAAACACCAATGGAAAGATTCATGTAAACAATAACGCGATGACGTTTGAGTCTCAGATTAAAAATCAACTCTGAAATGCAGAAACATTCAGCTGACGAGTCCCAAATAGGACGAAATGTGCGTCCTGTATTCCACTGCTAACCACTATCTATCTATTCTAATATTATGTGATAGAGTTTAGAGGAAAGTTTGTTTTTTAATTCTTTACACCGAATCATATTTAGAATATTCAAACAGAGTATCATGACATGACAACACTAGTTTCATAGAGGACTTTCAGTGGTTAATCTCCAACGAATGATCGTTACAAATTTGTATTATTGTTAGCACTAGGATCCAGGATTCAACTTTCATTTTAATTAACAATCGTCCTCTGAATATAAATGGATTCCAGTGTTCATATTCACACATAAAGGTGGATAATTCTTAGATTCTCCATTTTAATATCTACAAATGTATATGTCACATAGCGATTCCACCGTTTTACTTTCATCACTAGTGAGATTGTGCTGTGTGGGTGAGAATAATAATGATTAGTTGTTTGCTTAGTTAAACTTGTAGATAGTCTGACAGATACTAGATGAGTTATATATTTCATTACCCTTATTATTATTGATTAACTGTTGTTAGATTGTGTCGGTTTTTGGTGTGGAAATATACATTCATATTCTAGTCAGACTAATCACATGTTCTCGATTTAATTTGTGTTGAAGTCTTGTAGATTAGACACTGAGAGGGAATCTAGTGTAGATATTCGTCTAAGGTAAATCAACGTCCTATTTGTAAAGACGAAGAAAAACTAAACGTTATTACCGATTGAGACTTCAGGCCACAGTATTACTGTATCAAACGTTAATCAAGATATTGATGATAGTCTTGGTTTTATATTTGTCAGTTATTGCTGAACTAAAAACATGTCGTTATGCCAGTGATGGGTCAATAATAACTGTCTGAATAAAATGAAAATTATTTAAGATATTCTCAGTTGATCTTGACTCTAGTAATCTTGAATAGATTGTAGAAAAAACATACGTAACATACGTATGATATATATATAATTAAACACAAACATTGATACAAGGAGGCACCAAAAAGATAAGCGCCGCATAGATGATTCGGTTTATGTGTGGGCTATGATACTACCCGGGTGCCAAAACCGAAGTAGGTGGTTTTCTTAGGTGCCACAATCGCAGCATTCAACCTACAGGTATGATCCACAAATCAGTGGAGTAACGTTAGGAGATGCAGTCCTATGGTAGCCGGTGACCAACGATCGATTCATACTCCATTTGTTCCATCAGGATCCTGTAGCCCATATACACCATCGGTTTGGAATCAGAGTATCCAACTCTGCGTGTCCGCTAACCCAAATAAAGCACCGATTATTCGCTTTTCTTCCTCTCAATTTGGTAAACAACAGTAATGCCACGAGAAGATAGTGAGTAGGACTTCCCTGGCAGTGATTGTATGCACGTGGCCATGTGAGAACATTTCGAGAAGAAGAGCTGACTCTTCCTACCTTCGGCCATACCAGAGCATTTGATAGACTATATATAGTAATTCATATTGTCAACTATGAAATATAACTGTCCTTGTATCCATCTTAGTCTCACTGTACTGTTATTTACTAATCTATCAAGTTTAAATTGTAATCATCAAATCTTATTGAGTTATCACAGATATTCTGTTGCCTTTCTTCACATTTTATATTACAGAATTCAATGTAATCACTTCAACTGGGACTTTATACAATCCAGATGAAAAGACAATGTAATTTATCATTTCTATTATACACTATTTATGCTATACAACTAATTTTACTTTTATATTTATACTACTTTTTTAAATATTACTTAAATTAGTATTCAGTAGTAATGTATTTCTTAAGTAAATATTGCCATCATCTATGGATCAGTTTTAAACACAAGATTCTTCACAGATATTCTATCCCATTGATAAAACAATATTCAATAATCAATTTGAAAGTATCGATTTCAGTGACTTTTTTCCTTTTTTTTTCTTTTTTTTCTTCCTTCTTTTGTTTATTGAATATCAAAATGAAAATTATTTTAAGTATTTAGTTTTGAATGATTTGAAAGTGTTATGAAAGTTGTTCTAATGAATGAGAAATGAAACTATAATGGGTCAAGCGTTATAACTTGTCGTTTGAATGTTTATTGTCTTGGCTTTTTTCATGCTACCTTTTGTATTTGGTCGTCGCTGATTGTTATGTCAGGACCTCTGCAATCCCCACGACGTGAAAGTAAGAACACAAAGACTGGTATAAGTGATGATATATTAACCCCAAAACACGTCGACGACGACGATTCTAGTAGAAAATACACTCATTTATATATTGATTGTACACCCATTTTGATTAATAATTAAGATGAAACCACATATATGAGAAATACTTAGAGTTATATTAACTCACATACTGAGCATAGTTCATGTCAATGGAACACAACACACACACACAGAGAAAAATATCATACGAGAAACGAAAACAACTACTACACTGAGTAATCATTACATTGAATCAAAACGGATGTTGAATGTTGAACAAAACTCATAATCAGTAAATCAATCGAAAATTGACTTTTCTTTCCATCATATCATCAAGAATTTGATTACAGGAACTATTGTGCATGAATCCTGATTTATCGAAAGTTTCAGAAGAATCCATGTTCATCTGACTTTCAGTATATTTTACACTATGTAATATGAATTATTATAGAAATCCGTGATTAGACTATAAAGCAAATAGTACCATGAGAACTTCATGAATGATCATAGTTTTTAAACAAAATAAGGAAATTCATAGGGCAAAAGCTACTACTGGGAAGTTGAAAGCAGTAAATATTTGTGTTATAACTTGTGCCCTGTGCCCTGTTAAGGTATAATGTAATTATAACGCCAATTAGAGAACAGTGAATTATCGAACGGACTAATCAGGCATAAAAACCTGTACGAACAGTCTAGAGTCTTTATTGGTCCTTCTTCCCACCCAAGCCTTGCCTGTTGAATCCAGAACACCAATCTCAGCCTCCGTGATATGAATCATGTATTTTAAACATACTGGGTTTATATACAAACCAAAAAGACCACATCGTACTATATCCTTATATGAAATGTTCCCTTTATATATTACATCATTGAATTAATTACTTCTATGAATTTGGTGTTTATCTTGATGTGTTAACGAGGTGTGGCAACTTGGGCCGATGCATATACGTGCCTAGTCCTACGTTGTAACTAAATGACTGAAGTTTGTTTTGGTAATTCTTTTTCTAACCCAAACTTCATAATGAGGGCAACGTGTTATCTAAGCTTTATATGTCAATGGACCTAGGACTCAGGTATTGCCACAATCTGATCATCTCAGAACACGTCATTAGACAAACTTCCCAGTTTCAAGGACTTCTGAGTTCCAGAGTACGTAAACTCCATAGCAGTAATTCACTTATTGAATGCACAAATTATGTATGCGACCACACTGTAAGATCCGCCCAAGTGCCTTTCGGTTTGACTTAGTTTTCCTACATTAGCATTAAAAAGACACTTGAAACTATTACTATATCAGAGCATTTAGCTTTTTGGAAGTTGTTTTGTTTCCTATAAAACCCATCTTCAACTTCGTCCTAGCTGCAATTATTGGGAGCGTAGGCAGAGACAATTAAAAAGCAACTCTGTGTCCTTATCTTTTTGAGTTCCCACTGTCCCGATTAGTTTGACAGCGCACAAACCACTGTCTATTGTAATCCAGTCTGACAGAGTCAATGTTACTTTCAAACTTACTGCTATGTCTGCACCAACAAGGCTGCGGGAAGTAGCAGTGGGGACCCCAGATATTCGGAGAGTAAACCGTGCCAGTTCTTTATACTGACAAGTCGGGGTCAAGTTAATGACTGTACTTGGATCCCGTATACGCGTCTCGGAAACGAAGTATACATCGGTGGTATTAGATTGTCGAGTCCCAGCTAAAGAAGCCTATTTTCTCATCAAACACGGGGTTCGAACATTTAAAGCTCTAACATGTAGTTAAGAGTGTGTTTTCAGATAAATAAGAAGGATTAGTCGTTGGGACAGAAGAATTATTAAGAGGTGAAGAGAAAAGGATTCAGTTGTGAACAAGATAAATTCGGGTGTTGATAGCGGTTGATATGAGGGTGAATGTCACACCTTGTTTGCCGACATTGTGTAAGGATATTTCTTGCTGAGGGACCTGAATTCAAAGCTGAATTAATGGCGGTTATAGCGACCTGGTAACGTAACTAAAAGGCTGAATGGACGACGGCTTGAGGCCGGTAGCGCGTGGTCTTTTTATGGGGAGTTTCTGATGTGTTGTCTGCTCAATTCAAAAGGCTTTGCTGTTGGAGATGGAAATCCATATGGTAGTGTGAGGTGTGAAATTTTTATGCTCAACGTTTTTTAACCCCTTTCTTCCGTTGTGAGAATTCAGCATCGCTATAGATGGTCTTTATCCGAGGGAAACACATTACTTCTCTCACATCCCTTTACAATAGGCAATGTAACTTCGCCACCGAGCCTTAAGTTGCTATCTTTACTCTTACTGTTCTCTAACCGAGCTGCCTGACATGGTAAGACCTTAAGGAACATATGTTCCAGACATAATCTAAAATCAGGAATCCCAGTTCTTATCAGACAGTATAGAACATAAATCTCAATATATATTTATATTTTGTAATGAAAGTCATATTCCAATTTGACCATTTTTTGAATGTTCAAATACGTATCAATGAACTGTCTATTGACAATTGACAAATCATAAACTGAATGATGAAATCACTAGTGAATTGAATGTTGTAAAACAAAAAGATGAAAGAAATGTAAATGAACACTTCAAATGTATTTCTTCAGTTGATCAATTTGTTTAGTTTCAGCATGTTGAGACACTTTAGTTATATGATATAAAGTTTAGTTTTCCTTCATATCATTCTAGTGTCGTTTTCTGAATAGCCAAACTAAAAATACAATACTTGGAACAATGATCACGATTATGAATGGTATTAGAAGACGAATGTATAAACGATGAGTGACTTCATTAATAAATGTGATGGAATATATCTGTAATATATCACGAGAGAATAGAAACTGTTTGGATGTGATTGGATTGTCTTCAGTAACTTTTATAATCATATGAGTAGTAATTTGAATCGGTCTGCTAGATGATTGATATATAGTGACCTGTGGGAAAGTGGTTTGATGATCGTTTACGGAAGATTCGTTAATTTTGCTTAACTCATCGGTGTTCATTAACGGTTGTATAGGTGATATATTTTCAGTAGTGATTGATTCCATTGTAGTCTTATTTGTAGTCAATGTTATAAGGTTTGTAGATTCTATATTATGTGTAACGGTTGATTCTTCTGTTGGAACATGTTCGATCATTCCGTTAGTTGAATATGAACAAATTCCTATTTGCTAAACCAAAATAAAAGTGCTTTTAATCTAACATTAAGACAATACTAGCATATGTAAATTGAAGAGATGATGAAAAGATTTCATTTTTATGTCGGTGTCAAGCCAATGACATACTTTTATTTCTTCATAAATTGTAAGCGACAATATCAGAGAAGAAAATGGTTCTTTTAAAACTGTAAATTTTGCAACAGAATGCCATAGCAAAATAATGACCACACTGAAAAATGGTTCGTGGAGTTGAGCCGACAGACATATTCAAGTGAGAACCGCAGTCAGACAAGACTGTTTACTCCCTTCCGTTCTCTTTCTTTTGATGTTTGATTGGATTATGAAGACCTACATATATGAGAGGAGGTACGGAATATAATGGACAGATTGCATGCAACTAGTTCACCTTATCCTTCTTTCTCAGACATACCAACAAACGCAGATCAATACAACCAGTGTGGTGGAAGTCTCTACAGCAGTAGACCTAAACAAACACAAGGGACAAAGCAGCATCTTCAAATATAACATGGGTAATACCAACCAACCAAATCACACATGATGGAGAAACTCAAGAACAGCTGAAACTATCACGTACCTGGTCAGAAGCATCATCGATGAACAAAGAGAATCTGATGCAGACGTAAAAGCAAGAATTAGGAAACTAGGAACGGCATTCCTTCAGTTGAACAACATATCAAACTCAAAGCAATTATCAACCAATATTAAAATCAGAATCTTCAATACAAACGCCGAAATAGTTCTATTGTACGGAGCTGAAACTACGAGAACTAACACAACCACCATTCAAGATGTACTAGTATTTATAAACAATTATCTATGTAAGATGCTGAATATCCGTTGACCGGATACCATCAGCAGCAACCTACTTTGGGAGAGAATAAACTAACTTCCAACTAATGAGGAAATTAGGAAAAGAAGCTGGAATTATACTACTGATCACTCTGTAAATTGATCGATGGAACTAGGTCGATAATAACGACAAAATGCCTTTAAACAAAGTGTCAGTCACCATGCGGTATTCAATCAGTTGTCCAGAAGGTCATTGGCTTGCCAAATAGCTTAATGGTAATGTTCGTAATGATGACAGTTTTGTTTTAGAATCATAAAGAGAACATCAGTTACTTTGATATAACCGTTACCTTTTACTAATGAGTATTCACAAGCACTATATTTAGGTTTAAGGATTTCTGTATACTTCCTACAACCATCCAAAACAACAAACAAGGAAAAGCATTTGTTCTAAGATATTTTGTTTAACTTGTCACTAGCTAGTTTGTTAATAGTATTTGAGTGTCATATTCAAACTCATTTTGTAGAATATATGAAATGTATTTGTGGAAGATTTCAGAACACTTCTATGGAGACGAACTTTTGAAATATACAAGAGGTTCAAGAATAGACTGTTCCATTGACTCATACTCTTATCTTACAATGATACATGATGATAAACAATAGTTATATAAGTTATATAATATACCTATAGCGACTCACGTGCTAATGGGTTTATTTTCATTTAACCCAGTTAAGCCCTTTTTGTTAACTTATTTAGCGGACAAAGCCATCCGCGCTATAACAATTTATTGTATCCTTATTATTATTTTGAGCTTGTATGAAATACGTATGCCTGAATATTGATTACTGCCTACGCATTTATTCATTCTGCTAATCTTACTACTAACCGCTTATTCGATTCGATTGCTCATTCATTTTCACATGGTATATATATATGTCCATTTTATTCATATGGAACACAATCGCTCACTCGCTCGCACGGTCTCGTCACGCTCTTGCTCTGGCTCTCGTTCGCTTGATTGCCTTTCGGCACAACTCTTCTATGCTTGTTTAACACATCTGTACATTTGGATATATGTGTGTGGTTTCGTAATAAACGTAATCGACACTCCGTATTGGCCTTCTGATTAATATACCGTTGGTACGTTATATAGAACGGTTATCGCGACGAGCTGTATACGAAGTTTAAGGATTATATCAAATACCGACCACCACATACCCTTGTGGGCCAGGGTAATTTTATATTGGTTTTCGGGAGAACTAGACATCATCAAGACTTTCACGTGACAACCCAAACAGTACAGCTTAATTCCGTTTAACAGGAGAGCCGGACACCGTATAGGCTTTAACGCTACAATCTGAATAGTACAGCTCAATCCTGTGGCGCAACCACACAGGTACCAAGCATCCTGGTGGACCATTCGCATCATTCATATAAACATTCACGCCACATGTTTAGTTATTCCGATCAATGATCTCGTGAATCAATTATGCACAGCACGAACAGGACAAAGTTGACCTATTCAGTTTATACGACAGTCAAACTCATTAATGTTGGCAATGGCGACATGCCTTACAGTGTCCCTATGACAATGGCCCTTGAGAACACTGTAAAGCAACCACCAGTATGAATGAAATCGGTTAATCAGCAAACTCATTTTGTGCATGAACAGTCAGCAAAACTTGCCAAAGCAATGCCAAACCATCCACAATACCAATAGCGAACCTCCAGTCTCATATGAGACCTTCAGCTCCACATACAATCCACAGTAAATTAACATGTTTAAATAGAGCAAGAAAAAACAAAATTCATAAAGGGAACCAATTGCATGAAATTAACATGTATTAGAACAAATGAAACCCAGTAGTAATTAGAATAATAAATATTTATGATGATTGCTTAGTAGACCAGTATATTACAGCCTAATGACACAAAATGTTATTAAGTAAAATCCATGTATAGTAGGTAAAAGAACTGAACAGAAATTATATATATTCATTGAGATTCAATGAGATTAAATTTACTTGGATAGCGCAATCTTTTCCAAGCAAGGTTTGGATATCGATATCACGAAGGTGTCTGCAAGTGTTGAATTTCGGACACCAATGGCACTTTCTTCCAGATGTATAATCTTTAGTACAGTCTTCACAAAATTTGTATTCACTACAATCTTCAATGACAAGATAAAGAGATATCTGTAAGTGTGCACTAATTCAACTATTAGCGATTTCATGGACAGAAAGGTTACGTCACAATGATGCCGGATCGACTTATCTACTTACTTCCTTACTTACCTGTGTTACTGTTAATGGAGCACAGACTGCCGACCAGCATTCTACAACCCACTCTGTCCTCGACCTTCTCTTCTAGTTCCATCCAATTCTTGTTCATTTTTATCATGTCTATCTCCATTTCCCGGCTTAATGTGTTCTTTGGTCTTCCTCCTCTCCTTTCAACTTGAGTACTCCATATGAGGGCTTGCTCTGTGACGCATTTTGGTGCTTTCCTCAATGTGTGTCCTATCCACTTCCACACCTTCTTCCTCATTTCTTCCTCCACTGAAATCTGGTTTGTTCTCTCTCACAGTAAGTAGGTTGTTGCTAATTGTGTCTGGCCAAAGGATTCGAAGTATTTTGTGTAGAAAACTGTTAATAAACACCTGTATGTTCTGGATGATGGCTTTCGTAGTTCTCCAGGTTTCTGCCCCATATAGTAGAACTGTCTTGATATTTGTATTGAAAATCCTGACCTTGGTGTTGGTTGATCGTTGCTTTGAGTTCCAGATGTTCCTCAGTTGTAAATATGCTACTCTTGCTTTGCCAATCCACACCTTCACATCTGCATCAGATCCACCGTGTCCATCAATGATGCTGCCCAAATATGTAAACGATTTTACATCTTCCAAATCTTCTCCGTCCATTGTGATTGGATTGTTGCATGCTGTGTTGTATCGTAAAATCTTGCTTTTCTTTTTGTGTATATTGAGACCTACTGCTTTCCGATCGAGTCGCTTGACAATTTAAAGTGTGTACTGGAAAATAAATAAGGTGTCATAATGTATCTGTCAATAATAAATCACATCAAATGTGGAAAATAGATATCGTCATTCATGGTCATCATTCTACTTATTAATAAGCAGTAATTATAATTGTCAACCATTCACCCAAACTTAAAATCAAATCTTCCACTGGAAAATGTCTTCAAATCACTTCCATCAAACTAAACTGAAAGGTGTCGTTGTTATGTCATGTATATTATTCACTAATAAGTCAGATTTCATTGAAATATTTCAGTAATGGATTAATGAAATCTGTGACTTTTCTGGTTAGAGAGGCGAAATATTAAGCTGATTTGTGTATGAGCTTATAGAACCCTCACTTATACTTGAGTGTGTACACGTTGATATTTGTTGAGCCCTTTGATTAACGTGTTCAATAGACAGTGTCATGGATGTCAGTGGAAATTCTCTTGATCTTGTATTGCAGACGACCCAAATGTCCTAATTACTGACTTAAATGCCAGCTATAGTTATTTTGTTCAGTTTTATATTTAAACAATAATCAAATGACAAGCTTAGATTCCTCTAGTACCATCACATTACTGACAAAAATGAGAAAAAAAGGGGCGAAACGAGTCAAACAACGACAAGATATGATCAGAGTGACTCGATTGATCTGTGTTAATAACATTTTGATTTTACATCACCATGTATTCGAGTTAGTTTGTTAACTTTGATACTTTTTTCAAAACACATGCATACTGTTTGGTATTTCGTTTTCCGGAGGGATTACAATAGAACATTCCCATCGATACTTGGGATGTTACACATTCAAATATGTTAAAGGAGGTTATCAGGATGAATGATATGCGAAGTATAGGGGTTATCTCGATAAACATCCATTAAAAGACTGGTAACAGATATCGAAACATCGCCAAGTTGTAAATGAACGTAATCAGCTAGATCACACAAGATGCTTGATGAATCATTATATTAAAGCTGGTCAATCATTATGCTTGACAATATAATTGAACTTCGTGGATAACTGTCAATTGAAGGAAATCGTTCATTTCAAAGGTCGTCGCATAATTGGGAGGGAAACATTATTTTATCTGAGATCCAATCAATAAATAATAATTCTATACATCACAAGATACTTGTTCATCATTTCACACTGAGAAATGATAGAAGGAATGAATAACAAATAAAAACTATGTCCAGTAATCAGTTAAAATAACTTTCTTACGCACTTGAAATAGGAGTAAACTCAACCAACATCCCAGATTTTATCAGATATGTGGAAAGTATTTCTTTTTTCTGGTAATGATCATCTGTGAGAAGTTGAAAACAATTGAGTGATAACCCAATGTCAGGAGAATTAGTCGTCTTTTATAAACAGATAATAATGGATTCATTGTAAAAAAAAATGGTCAAGATTGTGTTTCTGTTGAGTTTCTTAAACTGTTATTTACACCTTCTAGAATGAACTCACTTGTTGTCAGCCTACTGATATCAGTAGTACACTTGAAAACTTTTCAAATCACAAGCCTCAGTGTTAAGAAAGTGTGTATATACAAGCGTTCATTACAATACACTTAAGTTGGAGTTTTACGCTTGTCAATTGTAGTGATTTGGAAGCACATTGTGATTCTTGTGATATCTAGACGATGATGACAAACCGCTGTTGTTAAAAATGTAGTCTGTTCATTGTTATGTATTTCCTAATGGTTGTCAAGTGAATGGTATTTTGTGATTAAGTGAAACCTAGAAATTCAGCTGAACCTCCATAAAACCACTTGTATGAAATACAATCTAAAACGATATAATTTTGTATATGTGACAGAATGACGACGAGCGCTGTGAAATGATGTATTTCAATTCATTTTAACATGGTCACATCGTGTCGAAATCTCTTGTATAACCATCTCGTTTTGGAATATCAGCAGTTGTCTTGGACCTTCATTGATTACGGAAGTTGATATCTCATCAATTTCAAAATGACAAATTTAATCAAATGTAGAGCAAAATAAAAAATTATTATTACAATTTGGTTGGATTACCTTCATTGGGTGGTTCATAGATCAACTTAACAGATGAATTCGTTTCAATCTCATTGGGTATCTGGAAAGTAATGTTCAATACAATATGATGTTTAGTATTTAACCAACCTGGAACACATGAAACAGATGACTACTGTTTTCAACTATTCTCATTACAATTTATTCAACTAACAACAAGACTCTTGTTTCTCATTAGTCCAATATTGTTAGTTGTTTAAATCAGTACGAAAAATATAAAGTGGAAAAGCTCAGTGACGTTATCAAATGTCCAAGCTACATGTTTCCCAACGCTAATCATTGATCAATTAGGGTGGTATCACAAATGTAGTGTTTATATTTTCATCATACTATTCTATTTGGAGCAATGAAAGACGATAACATTGAAATTCATTCATCCATTGAATGAAGTCATCATAGAAACAAAACTGATCTACAAAACGTTTGTGGACAAGCTTGTAAGTTAACCGGTCATTGTAGAAAGTAAGATCGTCAAATACAACGCAGACAACACCAACCAATCCAATCACACTTGATGGAGGAACTCTGTAAAATGAGGAATCCTTCACGTACTTGGGAAGTATCATCTATGAACACGGTGGATCGGATGCAGACGTAAAGGCGAGGATCGGCAAAGCAAGGGCCGCTTTCCTACAATTGAAGAACATATGGAACTCAAAACACCTTTCAATCAATATCAAAGTGAGAATCTTCAATACGAACGTCAACATAGTTCTGCTATGAGGAGCTGAAACTTAGAGAACTATTACAACCATCATCAAGAATGTACAAGTACTCATAAATAGTTGACTACGAAAGATACTCAACATCCATTCGCCGGATACCATCAGTAACAGCCTTCTGTGGGAGAGAACAAATCAGCTTCCAGCTGAAGAAGAAATTAGGAAAAGACGACTGAAATAAATAGGACATACATTACGCAAATCATCAAACTATATCACGAGGCAAGACCTAACTTGGAAGCCTGAAGGGAAGCGAAAAAGAGGAAGGCCTAAGAACACATTGCGTCGGATAATAGAAGCAGATATGAAAACGATGAATTACAACTGGACGGAGCTAGAAAGGATTGCCCAGGACAGTGTTGGATGGAGAGTGCTAGTGAACGGCCTGTGCTCCTTCACAAGGAGTAACAGGCGTATGTAAGTAAGTAGAATTTGATACATACATAAGAATAACTTCATATAACAAGTAAATATCTACAATGATGACAATATAACACTTTATATTATACACTTTAGTAGAACAAATTGGAATGTTGCCAATTCAAGTTAACGAATAGAAAAACTTTATAACTAACTATTAACATACCTTTTCATAGTAAATCGATATATTTCCATTAGAATAAATAACACAGACAATCTGAACTGAAAAATGCAAAATATGAAAAATGATAGTTTTCATTCATTAAAAATATGCACAGCAACATATTTACGTATTACTTTGACTAGAGACAATTAGATGTATAGTCTGTTTAAAGCAAAGTGATATCAAACAGTATGATCATTTGAAGTTGAATGAATGATACAAATTACAAGCCAACTGAATTGACTAACAGTGAAGTAATTGTGATTCATTAAAATGGTTAAACAATTTCTAATCATTTCTAACTGTTACACTTATTATCATTATGTTTAAACAATCATTTGGTAGGTAACTAACTGTATTAGGCAAATCAATACAAATTAGTTGATATTGTTTATATTGTATCCAATACTTAATACTTTACCCCGTTGGATAAGCAGGTAGCTATTAGGGCTCAGTAGCTAAGTGCATTTGAAGCGAACGATACTGAGTTCGAATATCAGAGTGAACATCAACTCTGAAATGCAGGTACATCCAGCTGACGAGTCTTGAATAGGACGAAATGAGCATCCTGTATTCCACTGCTAGCCACTATCCATCTTTGTTTATATAGCTTATGACTTAAATCATTACAATCATTGGAAATCAATGATGTAGCTATTTCAAATAACTATCTTATACTGAGTATTTGATTGTGCTTAGCATCATGTTTACCATTTTTACGTAATCAATAATTTGCATTAGATTCTTTATTTCAGATCATTTCAAGGAAGTGTGTAGGTGTTGAGAGATGACTTTAAAATCATAATCCCATTGAGACTTCCTTCAATCTGTACATTTTTCATAATTGTTTAAAACTATGATATTCTTATTTTAATGTGAATACAACTCCCTAGTAAACTATACCTCTCAGATACCTTATGATGTCTAACTAACTTTTCTTACTTATTCATTATTGATATCATTCAACTAGTTGAAAACTCGCTCTTCTTATACTTTTATAAAAAAGACTCTTCATTGATTTGATCAATTTTTGTTGAACATTAACATATTCCATTTGGAAATAACAAGTTCTAGTAAGAAGCAGTGACCAGTGGAGTTCAACCGGGTCAGTTGTGAGATAGTAACTCACTGATGACAGTGGCGAATGTGTCGTTCAATCTCGTGGATTAGTTGAAGCTAGGCATTAACACCGTTGGATGCCGGATCAGTGGTCTAGTAGGTTAAGCGCCTGGCGCGAATTCGTGGATGCGCACTGCCGAGGAGTCCCACAATAGGACGAAACGGCCGTCCAGTGCTTCTAGGTTTTCCATGGTGGTCTAGCTTCATTTGACTCGTGATCTCAACTGTTGAACTAACCATTTCAATTCAGAAATAAGAGAAGTATAGTATACTTTCAATATGTATCATTACAAAATATGTATACGATTAGTTTCTAAAGTTATTTCATATTTATCTCAATACTCTATTTTGACCTATTTATGTATGTTGTCATAGTTACTTAACTACTTTTCTCACAACTGACTGATTATTAGATGGTAATCAATGTCATATATGTCAGGTCCTTCGTTATGTAGATAGAATATTATCGATTTAGTTGTAATGTGACTACTAGTCTAGATGATTTGACATTGAGTAGTTTGGCCAAACCCTCCAGCTCATAGAACTAAACTCCATCAAAATTATCCATCTGAGCTACAAATCTTCTTCACCATCTCAAAGATAACATAGTGGTTAGAGGTAGTCAACACCGTTTCCAATCACCATGCCAACTAATTTTTCTCATTTTGGCTTAACTTTTCAAGTTTACATTATTCAATGCTAAGAAATGAAATCAAACCATATTGGATAATAAATTGTGAACTTCTTTTTTTTTTAAATACAATTTTACATTGAATAAAATACCATGATCTTTGAATTGATATTTATTTGAATATTGAGTATTCAAACGAAGCCATTTCACTGCAGAGAATTCATCTGGAATACAAAGGACATTCAACTGAATGTTATAGCTTAATAAACTATAAATCAACTGAAAAGATTGGAACTGAAATTATAGTGAATGAGAACATAAGTGAAGAATCTCTTAGTCAAATCTGAATATCATACAGTAAATACTTGATTCTGCAAAAGACCGATCAATCGTTTCAGATCTCATTGTTCTTTCGTTTCAACAGGAATCATTCCCTGTTCTTGATCTTTTTTTTTCTTTGATCTTAACATTTTGCCTACAGACCTTTCACTTTCGATAGATGATACATACTACTTATACTTATTGACATCAGTAGTACACATCACAGAGTATCACATTAATTAATAATCGATTTGACTGGTATTATGAATATAACAGGTTTTATTTCATGTAGATAACAGTTAACATGTTACTGTATTAGAATAGGAGAATATAGAAAATGTTATTTGAATAGAAATAGGGTATAACAATTAAATTCTATGATGATTCGGTTATTTAGAATATCAATCGTCAGCTCATTATTGAATATTTTCGAGATAGATTTCCGAATTCCCAGTAAGAAATTGTAAATGATGAACTTTTATCATATTGTAAGTAAATCTTTTACCTACTTTCTTATGTTAGTACACTTTTATCGAAGTTATAAATGTGTATTGTTGATGCAGATGTGAAGGCGCGGATCGGAAAAGCAAGAGCAGCATATTTACAACTGAAGAATATCTGGAACTCAAAACAATCGTCAACCAACACCAAGGTTAGAATTTTCAATACAAATATCAAGACAGTTCTAATGTATGGGGCGGAAACCTGGAGAACTACGAAAGCCATCATCCAGAACATACAGGTGTTTATTAACAGTTTTCTACACAAAATACTTCGAATCCGTTGGCCAGACACAATTAGCAACAACCTATTCACTATGGGAGAGAATAAACCAGATTCCAGTGGAGGAAGAAGTGAGGAAGAAGCTGTGGAAGTGAGTAGGACACACATTGACGAATGTACCAAAATGCGTCACGGAGCAAGCCCTCATATGGAGTACTCAAGGCCAAAGGAGAAGAGGAAGACCAAAGAACACACTACGCCGGGAAATAGAGATAGACATGAGAAAAATGAACAAGAAATGGATGGAACTAGAAGAGAAGGTCGAGGACAGAGTGGGTTGTAGAATGCTGGTCGGCAGTCTATGCTCCATTAAGAGTAACAGAGGTAAGTAAGTAAGTAATTGCTGAATTGCAACTCAACTAATCAAGCATAAATCCCTCATCTTGCAGAACCAAAGTCCGTTTGTTCGATTATTGGTTGGTTATGGGTGAGAAATGTTGAGGAGCCCTAAAACAAGGGAGATACATCTTTCCAATACTCTATCATTTGTAAGACAGTTCTCCAGCTCATCTAAATTCATGACAACAGCTATCATCAAATCACAATATAGAACTTAATTATTCATAATTACTTAATTTATCACTGAAAATTCATATAAGAATAACGTTCTAAAACAAAACATAAGATAATCTAACAAAATGGTAAATCTCACTAGAATCCTTTACTTGTACTTCAACGTATTCGTCTTCTCCATCAAAAGCATGGATTATATTTCCTGAATCTGGTTTCTCAGTTCCAGGTCCGATGCCCAAAACACCTTATTTGATAAAATGACAATAAAAGTTATTCTTAACCAGTAATAGTTTTACAAAAGTTACCTTTAAACATTTGACACTGATGCCATTCAATTGTGAATATAATCTGATGTGTTTCAATTAATAAAATGTGTATATGTGAAATAGATCGTCTCGTAGTTTACAGCATAGCTGAACACTTACTTACTTACGCCTGTTACTCTTAATGGAGCACAGACTGCCGACCAGCATTCTACAACCCACTCTGTCCTCGACCTTCTCTTCTAGTTCCATCCATTTCTTGTTCATTTTTCTCATGTCTATCTCCATTTCCCGGCGTAGTGTGTTCTTTGGTCTTCCTCTTCTCCTTTGGCCTTGAGTACTCCATATGAGGGCTTGCTCCGTGACGCATTTTGGTACATTCGTCAATGTGTGTCCTACTCACTTCCACAGCTTCTTCCTCACTTCTTCCTCCACTGGAATCTGGTTTGTTCTCTCCCATAGTGAGTAGGTTGTTGCTAATTGTGTCTGGCCAACGGATTCGAAGTATTTTGCGTAGGCAACTGTTAATAAACACCTGTATATTCTGGATGATGGCTTTCGTAGTTCTTCAAGTTCCCGCCCCATATAGTAGAACTGTCTTGACATTTGTATTGACAGTTAACGTTTTTTTAACTCGGTAAAAAAATCGCTAACCAGAAAAAATATTATAAATGAACACAATAATTTTGTTATTCTTTCAAAGTTCACAAAATGATCAAATATTGTCTATAAAATAAAGATTTTATGAGTTTCATTTACAAATTTCATTGATTTTATACCAGATAATTGTCAGGTCATCTTTGGAACTTTAGTAATAAACTACGATTTTAGACTAGTAACTAACTAACTAGATACAAGTACGTTATTGATTAATGATGACGTAATTATTGAGTGTTATTGAAAAAAATGATTTGATTACATATTCATAATAAATGATGATTGGTAAGTTATTAGTATGTAGTGACTCACCTGTATCAAGAGAACACGACTGGTTTAATGAGAACAATTATTATTATAACCAACTGTACCAGTGTTTGTTTTAATGTGCTTTTGTTTGACTGTGCTAATGACAGCTATATTGTGCTTCCATTCTTATTCTTACACTTTGATTGTGACTTTGCGCGAATTCGGATACGTTCTGTAACCAAACTTGTATCCTGACACGATCTCGGTATCCTTTCGATACCACGAGATTGCCAGCAAATATAACTAGACTTGGTCCATTAACAGCCATCTGATACTTGGCTTCTCGGCGATTTTATGGATTACTTTGGTTACGTTCAAATTTCGCCTTCTGATTTACTTGGTACGCGATCCTTTGTAGCGGTGTTCATAGTAAACCGCGACTCGACTCGACGCTACAAGTAGTTCACGAATAATCATTAAATAATTACTAACACAAGTTATCTATCGTGAAGCCGAATGAACTGCAAACAAGAATTCGCCGTTCAACACTGCCTTCATCTCACCGTGACAGTTGTTTCGAATTATTAATCATCATTTCGATGTATGCTTTCACTTTCAGACGCACAGCATTCTCTAGTCTTCCATTCAGTGTTTAAACTCAGCATTTTCATCGTGATGCAACTCGATGATTTCCAAAATGTATCTCCTATAAACTTCAAAAACGTTTTCGTTATTATCCTAATTGAAGGTAGTCTGTCTTTATCCTGTAGTTGTGTTGAGTCGCAGTTCATTATAATAACCACTACAGATCGATTACGTGACACTTATTAGGTTAAACACATCCGTATGACAAATATCAGATTGCAGTTAGGATCTATTTGTTGGCAATCTCGTGGTATCGAAATAATACAGAGATCGTGCAGAAATCTACAAGTGAGACTAACGACCGAATGTGAGTGTGGTCAAGGTCACAAACAACGGAAAACTATGTGTTTTGATACAATTAAATGAAAACATACAGTAAAACAATCACTGGTACAGTTGGTTAAAATAATGATTGTTTCCATTACACCAATCAAGTCATCTTCATAAAAGAAGGTCACTACAATCTCATAAATTGTATGATCAATTGTGTACTTTCAGATCATGATATCAGATAAAGGGTGTCATTGAATAATCACTGACCGAATAAATTCAGTGATCATTTCCACCACCTCGATAATATTGCACACAATCAGTTACAATGTACAAATTGTCACTATTAATCACTTACCCTGTGAAAATATTGTAACCGAACGAAATTGTTCACCAAAATATATAAATGGGAATCGAGGCATAAATGGCTGAAAAATATTGATTAGATTATACATTACCCTTGGTCTAGATAAATTAATCGGTTTGTTCATATTATCAAATATGACTGGAGATGATTGATTGAATCGTATTAATTCTGTGTAATAATAATGATCTGTCTAATTACACAGATTATTGATCTGAATTATGATTATGATTACTTGTGAAAATGTTTCATCAGTTTCATTAACATTTATGATCCCAATTGTTGAATAGTGGTTCGAGTATATAAGTTTCATGAAACACAACCATAACAAGAAGTCAAGATGAAGAGTATCAGACATGTATCAATGATTTTAATAAGTAGTATCAATGATGTGTGAATTCAGATTGTTATGTTTTATGCTTTATATAATGAGTTATGAATCACCTGACTGTCTAGTTCTCTTATTGAATGATTTCATATTAAGAACTGGAATTTCTTGATTACTTTGATGAATATGGCGACTGTGAAATGAATGATGTCTGGTAAAGAGAATAGTTAAGGTCAATGAATATCTATCCGTTTCTATAATGCATTAAAATATCTTATAATATTAATAGACAAATGTTGTAAGTTATTATACTCTAGTAACATGGAAAACACTCATATAAACAAGTTGATACTGAATTGAAGAGATGTAAAATAAGATAAGTTTACAAATTGTGTACATGTTTGTATAATTTAAACCATTTAAACTCTGAACTCCGAGTTGAAGGAAGAAGCATGACGCCTCATGATGACAGCCGAGATTTTTCGAAATTCGCGGAGCGGATGTCTCTTCTAGCAATCAGAGCAACAGGTACACAGAACGTACAGACAATGTGGAACAACGAGTGGTTCAGTCAAATAGTAACGAGAATGAAGAGATACAACTTGGCGGTTCACTGAATAAGTGAAACACATTGCACCCAAGCTGGGCAGAAAACATTAGATTCGGGAGAGATGCTGCTGTACTCTTGTCACGAAGAAGAATCTTCTCCGATGCTGTTTAAAGATGCGCGTAAAACACTTGTAGGATGAGAATCCCATCAACCCAGGATCATCAAAGCATCCTACTAAGCAAACAGGGAGGGAAGCACAATGAATTTTATCCAGTGTTATGCAAGTAAACTTGTCTTATTTTACATCTCTTCAATTCAGTATCAACTTGTTTATATGAGTGTTTTCCATGTTACTAGAGTATAATAACTTACAACATTTGTCTATTAATATTATAAGATATTTTAATGCATTATAGAAACAGATAGATATTCATTGACCTTAACTATTCTCTTTACCAGACATCATTCATTTCACAGTCGCCATATTCATCAAAGTAATCAAGAAATTCCAGTTCTTAATATGAAATCATTCAATAAGAGAACTAGACAGTCAGGTGATTCATAACTCATTATATAAAGCATAAAACATAACAATCTGAATTCACACATCATTGATACTACTTATTAAAATCATTGATACATGTCTGATACTCTTCATTTTGACTTCTTGTTATGGTTGTGTTTTATGAAACTTATATACTCGAACCACCATTCAACAATTGGGATCATAAATGTTAATGAAACTGATCAAACATTTTCACAAGTAATCATAATCATAATTCAGATCAATAATCTGTGTAATTAGACAGATCATTATTATTACACAGAATTAATACGATTCAATCAATCATCTCCAGTCATATTTGATAATATGAACAAACCGATTAATTTATCTAGACCAAGGGTAATGTATAATCTAATCAATATTTTTCAGCCATTTATGCCTCGATTCCCATTTATATATTTTGGTGAACAATTTCGTTCGGTTACAATATTTTCACAGGGTAAGTGATTAATAGTGACAATTTGTACATTGTAACTGATTGTGTGCAATATTATCGAGGTGGTGGAAATGATCACTGAATTTATTCGGTCAGTGATTATTCAATGATACCCTTTATCTGATATCATGATCTGAAAGTACACAATTGATGATACAATTTATGAGATTGTAGTGACCTTCTTTTATGAAGATGATGTGATTGGTGTAATGGAAACAATCATTATTTTAACCAACTGTACCAGTGATTGTTTTACTGTATGTTTTCGTTTAATTGTATCAAAACACATAGTTTTCCGTTGTTTGTGACCTTGACCACACTCACATTCGGTCGTTAGTGTCACTTGTAGATTTCTGCACGATCTCTGTATTATTTCGATACCACGAGATTGCCAACAAATAGATCCTAACTGCAATCTGATATTTGTCGTACGGATGTGTTTAACCTGATAAGTGTCACGTAATCGATCTGTAGTGGTTATTATAATGAACTGCGACTCAACACAACTACAGGATAAAGACAGACAACCTACAATTAGGATATAACGAAAACGTTTTTGAAGTTTATAGGAGATACATTTTGGAAATCATCGAATTGCATCACGATGAAAATGCTGAGTTTAAACATTGAATGGAAGACTAGAGAACGCTGTGCGTCTAGACTTGAAAGCATACATCGAAATGATGATTAATAATTCGAAACAACTGTCACGGTGAGCTCAGTACATAGTTGAATACAGTTGACAGTTTATTCTGCTCCACGATGAGTAACATGTGTGAGTACTTATTTAAGAATTACTTGAGAAGATATTAGAACGATAAATAACGCGTTCTTTGGTCAACAACACCATTGCCATTTGGTAAAACATGTCTAAAATGTTTACATTATTTATTTTATGAGGCTTTGAACTGTATACCTTTGGCATATCACGTTTCACTTCGAGAAAGTCACCTGCAAACAAATATGAAGACACTTTATGATGACCAAATCTATCATTTTTAAATACTTTAGTTTGTGTAAACTCATTGTGTGTAGAAGTGTTTAGTGCACCTACTTTTCAGACCTCAATTCAATCTCACCTCATGTCTGTTCTACATGACAAACTATTTTATTTCTAAGTGTATACAATAACCGAAGGCTAGAATTAATTGATTGAGTAATGAGTAAGTTAGTTGTGTGTTACGTAAGGGTGAAAAATAACGTGAATAAACGTTCAAAATATACACAATCAGCTTGTAAATTGCTCACTTTCAGCATGTTTGAAAGTCTCTACATTTACTTTACCAATGAATCGCTTATCTTAATTACCTATGAACAGAATAGAACTACACATATGTCTTCTCCATGAGCATACTGCAACTCTAATACTCAAAATAACGACTACGATTATGATTTGCATTAAGACACAAATTTAAAAGCGAAGACTTATTTCATTAATAAATTCTATTGAATAAGGTACTATATTCTAGTGCATTTCTTGAGTAGTTAGAAAGCGTTTGGATGTGAATAAGCCGGTTGCTATTGTTCCATGAATCGTTTCAGAATTTTTTGTTGTCATGCCCAACTGGTTTTTTTTTACATAGATTAAATCAATGAAAACAAGTGTCCATACATTTGTGCTGATATCCTAGCGTTTTGATGATATGCTTTATCTGTGAGTACTGTATTGTGAGTTGTATTGTCTTGTTTAATCAGTGGTTTTCGTAATGACAAAATAAACATCATTTTTTTCCTTTCCTTGTGATACTTTATAAGCACACTTATATTCAGTATCTACTATTTCTAAGTATTAAATATGAAAAACAGACATTGTTGTTTCGTTATATTACTTACCTTATATTATTTACCCTTTACTTGAATAAGCGGTATCAGCTCCATTAGTTAACTTTATCAAGGAGAAACTGAATTTTAACTTGAAAAAAGCTGAAAAGAGTAATTCAGGTCCACCAACGTGCTATCCTTATTACTGAAGGTGTCAAGTCGCCTTTAATGTATTGGGTAACTTAGCACCTAAAAAAGGTCTGGGCTAACTTCTGTTTCTCTCAGGCTATGAAATGTCTTAGTGGGGTCCCCCAAGGTTCAGAACTACGACTTAATTTCTTGATTTATGTAAATGATCTACCATGACAGGTATCGTCTAACTTATTACTTTTTGCTGATGATGTGAAACTTTGGAGTGAGAGATACTAAACCAAGAGGATAAATTGGCACTTTAAGAGGATTCGAATCGACTTCAAAGTTGGGCAGACGAAGACGGACTCACCTTGAACGCTTCAAAGTGTAAATTAGTCCATCTGAGACATGTCGCCGACCACAGTTACAACTTAGAAAACTCCCCTCTAGGAGTATCCCAAGTTGAAAAAGTTTAATAGTGCTGTTATCCTAAGATTTGAATTCTTACAGTAACTGACAAAAGTGCCTTCCGAGTAAACCTTGCGCTGGAAACATTGAAGCGCATTTTCAAACAGTTTGACAGAAGAACTTTCCACAAAATCTTCAACAGTTTTATTCGTCCTCATTTAAAGTACACAAACATAGTGTTTCTTCTCTCATTCCAAAAGGATAAGGACACTATGAGACCCATCCAGCGGCGTGTCACAAAAATCAGATTGGGGACTCAAACTGAAGCCTTATGAAGAGCGCCTCTAATCACTGAATCTTTACCCGTTCGAATAGAGGCGTTTCAGAGGTGGTCTCCTAATTTTAAACACTTCTGGGCGGCCAATTAAGCACGTGCTTAAGCTTAGTTCCGATACAATCCTTAGGGGTTACACCCAAAAGATGGAGACTCAACACAGCAGAACGGTCTGCACACATACCCTTCACTTTCTAAGGGTAGTTAAATGTTGGGATTCACTCACGACCGAGTTAGTCCAAGGGGCTTTTCAAGAGTTCTTTAGGAGAGAACTCGACATATCCTTAAGGATTAAGGACAGTATCTTGTAGTGGCATTGGACAATAGCCACACAATCCACAAAGCTGTGAATACGAGACTACTCAGAAAATAGATATTCAATATTTAACGCGAGGAAATACCTAACAATGGAGAAGGCGCGAACAATGAATTGAATGGACTGGAGTTGATCGAGTGGCATAGCTCGGCCATGCAGGCGTGGTCTCTGCTGAATGTTACCTTATATCTTCTATTCGTATTAAATATATTGTTCCTTCTCTAGCCTAACCTTGTTCTACATCATGTATTGGTAATTGATACGATACAGTGAGTTGGTGTAGTCGATGGTGTGACT